TTTAATAACTTGTTCAACTTGATATTGATATTGCTTAGTAGTCAGGACCTTTGTCAGCCTCCTGGGTACTTCAGATTGTTTTCAGTCAACATGCTTCTTAAATATGATATAAGTCAATCTTAAGGGATTCAAAACATCCAACAAAACGACGTACAAGAGCAAGAAAACCACCAGATAAACTAAAAAATGGCCTTGGAACAGAGCCAAGTGGTGCTCCATTTGTTTGTTTACAATGATTGTAGTGCTGATGTATTTTTAGGACTCTGAACGTCGGCTTATAAAAAAATGAAACGTTTTTACAAAAGTTGTAAGGCAAGTAATATTTATCTGGAAGAACTAAAATATTCAAAAGCCAAACACTATGAAATACATGAATCAGAACGAAAAAGTAACCCAAAAATCCAGCCTAATCACCGGCTCCTAAAACTGCAACACAATCAGCACTTTTCCCCGCAACTCGTTGTCCAGACGTAAATATGCTCACGCTTTTGCGGCATTTGCTACAAACGCTGCGCAAGCGCGCCTATTTTCAGTTTTGTCTTTTGTTTGGAAAGAAGTGTTGTCCTTCATAAATCTTAGGTAGGATTTCCTATTTTTACACGTAGTTTGGTGAATTTTGGTCAATCATATTTTGTATTGATCGGTTTTTCTATTGATATGACCAGTGTAGGTCATTTTTGTGTTCTTTACTGTTCCTTAGGCCGATGTTTGGCCGAGGCGCAACTCGCCACTTTGACTTCTTGTCGCACCACAGCAAGTTAGGTTCTAGTGCCATTTTTTGTTGATGGCTTATAAATTGGACAAAATCAGTATATTTAAAGGTGGTTAAATGCTATAAGCAAACATAACTTGAGCTATGCACTTATTATTCACCTCTGATTTGTGGCCTGCGGGTGTACTCTAAAATATGTTGTAATTTTCTACATAGTTACATATCAGTAGGTGGAACTATGGTCATGAGTACCCAAATATAGGAACGTTCCCATTTTTGGGAACGGAGTTCCCAAATATGGGAACGGGCGTTCCCATTTATGAGAACGGAAGGTAATTTTTCGGCCGTTCTCCCACTAAAACTCATTAGTGCATCACGTCTCAAAAAGTGCACGCTAATTTAAGTATCTACTAAATCTCTATAAAATTATCTTTAATCTGACCGTTGAACAAGGAAATTGACCGTCGAATGATATTTTTAATGATTTTTTTTGAAATGACGGAATGGTGAAAACATGGGTTATACTACATTTAACATGCAATTTAAAGGAAAATGAAGCGTTTTTTTACATTTTGAGGTCAAGTATAATAATTTTCGCCTGGTTATGAAGTTTCATACTAGCGACACCAGATGCTGACATATGCAAGCGAACACGCGGACAGTCCTGAGGTAATATTGTTGACTTTTGGTCTCGGGGCGCACGACCGCGTGGAACGTCAGTGATTTTACCGAACTACTGTTGTAAACTCAGTTTCAGTGGTTTAAAATTATTCAGCTGTATTTTATCAGCCCGGAAAGACATATTTTATTTGGATGCTAGCTGTTTAGCATTGTTTTATAAGGAGCGTCATGAGCGTGGTTTTTGTCTTCCGTGTTTCTAAGCATGATCGTTTTGGGGGAATTTCTCTTATATAGGTCGCTCTGTGTGGCTTATTTATAATTTTTATGCTGATTTCGATCATTCCTCGTGCCCATCCTACCAGGCCTTTTGCCACTTACACTCATTAAGAAAGGAAAAAACTAGATTTTCCATGGGACTAGGTGTTTTGAGGGTGTAACATATTCAGCGTTCCCATTTTTGGATACTTCCTTGTGCTCGTCAACTATCGGTGATAAACAGACAGGTGCTTGACATGTCTCCACCCTCGGCGCGGACGGTGGATATAGGTATGGAAGACCTTGTTGAACATCGCTGAGCGTTGTGAATTACGTAATCCTGCAGAGGGGGGCGTGCCCGCTGCGAGATCGACGGGAATAAAAGCGCAGAAGACCGGGCGAAACATGCGACGGTCTTGCCGGAAAGGTCATCTGATGATTGTTGCTTAACAATAATTTGCGGCGTTGGACATGATGCTTGTTAATGAAAAGAGCCCCTGAAAGGCGTCGGTGAAATCGTTCCCAATTTTGGGTACGCCGTTCCCATAATAAGGAACGCTTGCAGCGCCAGTGTACGAGAGCGTTCCCAAATTTGGGTTCGCGGCCCGGATGATGGACTGCTTTAGAAATAGGGGAACGATTTAAAACTACGATGGGCCTTACAATATCAAACTCTTTCCCAACAATATTGAGACAAATATCAGGCGGTTCACGATCGTTTTATATTTTTTGGACGTCATTTAACGGTTCTTTTTCTTGTTTTAAATAATTCCTACATGGCGTTCCCATATTTGGGTTTATCGTTCCCAAACATGGGAACGAAAATGCGTTCCCGAAAATGGGTACGCTTGACCATAGTTCCGCCTACTGATATGGCATTGTATTATGTTGCGATGGCTATGCTTCAAGAAGTCTGTCATTTTTTAAATATCCATTTTTTAAACATCAACATCCAGTTGATGTTTAATCTTCAGAAGCCGTTGCTGTCATTTTTACCACAGTCTAGTCTTCGTTCATTGATATAAACAAGAGTCTGTGTCCATCTATTTTAAAATGAAAATACCTGTGCCTTTTCTAAAATTATGCTTTAGATGATTAGTGTTTTTTATCTTTAAGCGTATAAACCACTATCCAGAATTCACATCATATTTGTGCATGTTATTTTATGTTGATTTCCTCTAACAGTGGGTACCTACTCTGCTGTCAATTTTACTTAGTAAACTAGGAGACAAATAGATATATAATTGATATCTAATCCTCTTGTCGTTATATTTAGAACCTAAAATATAGATTGATAAGTTTTGATAAAAACATTTAAAGCTGATGAGAAAAGGTTTATTCAAAACCAAAATGTGATATCCTGGAATCTGTATTGGAGCATTTGGTATGAATGCTGATAAAAGCATCCATGTTTGCACTTTGTAACCTAAGGATTCACTAAGTGCTGTCCATTGGACTTGTCACTTTTGGTTACCTTAACCCGCGCCCAGCTGGGGGTCCTGGATTTCCACGCCCTGCTGGGGGGGGGGGGTGTTTGAACACCCCCCCTTGTAACTCGGCTCCTGGGCCACGTAGCGATACGCGGAAGGCGGCGTTCGAAAGAGCGTAAAAAATAATGACGAAATCACTTCGGTCAATTTTTTGGTCAGGTCAAAGGTCAGGTCACCAGAGGTCATTGAAGGCAAAATTTCGCCAATTTCCAGGTCAAATGTCGAAAATTTCCAAGAAGCCAACGCATAACTCGGGAACCAATAGAGCTACAGCGCCGCGGAAAAGCGCATTCGATAGCCCTATTAACGCCCTTTCTGAGTAAATCTCTCAGATTTGACCTAACGTCAACGGTTTTGCCTGCAGGGGGCAAAAACTGCAAAAATAGCCGATTTTTTCGAAAACAGTTTTTCTGCAATAACTTTTGACCCAAGCACTGTACGAGCTTACTTTTACCGGCATCGTGTTCCTCTCGTCAAGACGCATCGAATGAACTATAACTTGACCTTGAAAGGTCAACTTGAAAATTTGACCTCAGGTCAAGGTCATGACCTGACCGGAAAGGGTCATGCTGCATATCAGTCGATCCGTATCGTCGAGCTGAACACATCTAAGGCGTTTTCATCGCTCTAGCATGCCTCTATCAAAAGTTATTTGCGAAAAACTGTTAGATAGGTACTATTTGTGACCTAAGATGACCTCAGGGCATAAACAAGGGTCACGGACACCATTTTCAAGTTCAGTGTGTCTAAACCACTTGTAATTCGGTGTTTGGGAGTGTTTATAATGTCTTTCATCCAAAAGAGGCGCATTTCAATTTTCTCCCATTGACTTATAATGGGGACTGGGGAGGTCGCAAAATTGACCTGACCTTAGGTCATCGATATCAAAATTCTGAGATATACATTTTGTACATGCTATTGCTCTTAGCAATCGCTGAAAGTTTCAAAGCGATCGGTCACTCGGTGTAGCTATGACAGACATTGAAAGTTTTTATGAGGTGAGGTCACTTCAAGTGACTTGGTGACCTGACCTTGAATGACCTTGGTCTGAGATTTTCACAACATGTGTAGAATTGATGTATGATAAGGTGTACCAAAAACGGCGGCGCTCCGCGCCGCCGTTTTTGAGATATTCGCGAAAAACCACAAGGGGGGGTGTTCAAACACCCCCCCCCCCAGCAGGGCGCGGGTTAATATGCATTCATTAGAAATATAATTGTTTAAAGCATGTCTTAACAACACTGATCCAACAGAAAAGTCAATTTTGTCACTGCTTGCACAGGGAAGAGAACAGTTAAAGTAAGGAACTAAAAGATATATAGCTTGTCACTAGAACTTGACATTGAACATAACTGTTTTGCCTTTTTCAGTTTTATATATCTACAATTCATCTAGCATTTTTTCATTTTTGGGTTTAAATGTCAATGTTGCTACTTGCTAGAGTGTGTGTTGTTATATCCAGATCAAAGTCCATTTATTAATGCTAGAAAAACAAGTTCATATTTATAGAAATATTAAACAAAAGCATGTTTCATGTCTGTTAGCTTTAGCTAGCTTGCCTGTTATACATGATCACTTTTATCAATTAATTTAAATCCAAATTTATTGTTTTACCAGGTGAATCTTAAATGTCTCTGCCTGTAAAAGAAACATTTTTATCACTACTCACACACTGCCCAGTGACAGTGGGAAAGGTGCAATGCATTGAGCCTGCAAATCATTGAGCCTGAGTAGGTACTGCAACATTAAGTACAAGTATTGACAGAACTGCAGACACTTATCTAGTTATTGTGTCGTGGGATGTAGTGTTATATAAACGCTTATTTGTATGGCTTCATAGCAGCGACGGCGGTGACGTTATCACTACCACTCTGCCTTCAATGAGTCTTCTCTACTTTGCAGTGTTTGCCCAGCTCTTGGGGCCGTCAGCACCCACCCTGGTAACATGGCTGCCAAGTGTTAGCCGCGATGCGGAAACAGGTGGTGCTGCTGTTTGACCTGCACTGTCTGGGCTGGGACGCGCCCGGCGATGCGGCGTTCGAGTGGCGGCTGCGCTCCCTGCAGCGCGCCACACTCCGTCTGCTGCTCGGACTGGCCAACTGCCTGGAGAAGGACGGCGGCCTGCGCTTCGGCTTCCGACTGTTCGACTCGGCGCGCTACAAGCCGGGCACGGACCGATCCGGGTTTGTCGACTTCACGCTGGATGCGTTCGAGGCGCTGGAAAACTCGCTGGCGGGCGCACTCGAGCGGCGGCGCACCGGCTCGCCGCGCCGGGCTGCCGACCCCGGCGCTGCACCGCCCGGCCAGGCGCTGACGCGCGCCCTGCACGAGGTGCTTAGCGACTTCCAGTGGGAGCGTGCCGACGTCGACTCGCCTGTGAAGCGGCCCCGGCGGCGGCGCGGCGCCGCTGCGGCCCCGGCCGATGACTCTGGTAACGCCGTGTACTTGGTGGCCGCGCTGCCGGCGGCGGAGGAGGCGGCACACCGGTTCGCCGGCGGCGCGGCGCCCGATGAGCTGCCCGCCCGGCTCACGGCTGCCGTGCTCAGCGACTCGTTCCGCCGACTGCTGTGTGAACAGTGCCGCGTGCGGCTGCACGTGCTGGACACGGCGGGCCTTCAAACGGCTGCCGAGCCCGACCCACTCGTACAGCGGGCGTTCTCGGCGCTGGCAGAGGCCACCGGCGGCGTCCTAACGCGGCTGGAGACGCTGCTGGAGCTCTGTGGACCCGAGCCGGCCGCTGAGCCGGCGCCGGAGGTCGGGCCGGGCGACGGGAAGGCGGCGGCGGAGGGAGAGGGCCTCCGGGTCCGGTGGAGGATGGGTCCCACCGAGCACACGGCTCGAGTGACGGTCAAACCCGGGGCCAAGGCGGATGCCTCGTCCTCCGATCGGACACTGCTCAGGTGAGGCGGGACAGGGGTGACTGGTGGACTGGACTTGTCTTCGAACACTTATGTTGCTAAAAGCTATATCTAGTGACTAGATGTCTCTTTATCTGATATTTGTTTGTGGTTCCTTGTTGGAGTAATGCAGTTTTTGACATTTGTTGCACATGCTATGTATAAGACGTGTTTACAAATGTAGCTGTGATTAACGATTGCAACAGACGTTTAGATGAGGAGAAATTCGCGTCATCCCCGAAAGATCAGCGTTCTGAATGCTAAATACAGCCTTCTGTAACCCGTGCCATCTCACTGCTCCACAGGCTACTCTCATCGCCGGACGACGCGTGTATTCTAATGGAGGTGGTTGCCAAGATGACTGACGCCGTCGACAATGCGTCCCACGTGCAGTTGGCGACTTTTGAGGCGGACGATGACACGTTTTCTGCGGGCACCCTGCTGGTGAGATTCGTAGGGCCGGGGGTAATTGTCGATTGTAGCATATGCTCGTGACTTAAAAGTTATAGAATGCCTTGAAGTTTTCGGGAGCTGATAGTGAATAGTCTTCACATAAATCATAATGGTTCATATTTTTGTGGATTTGAGTGTTTCGTCATGCACTCTCGCTGTCCATTGACCCCGAGTCTGACGTGTGACCTCCGTCCGCAGCTGGTGCGTCTGTCGGACCAGCCGTGTCTGCTGCGCACCGACTCCGCCCGCCGCGGAGCTCTGCTCTCACTGGGTGACCCGCCGACCGACGGTGGCGCCGGCGCGCGGAAGGACGCCGAAACAGTGCGCCACCGGCTGCGGTCCGAGCGGCCCCTGGTAGCGGACATGCTGCAGCTGTGGTTCGTAGGGCCACCGTCAGAGTCGCCTCCGAAACACCAGGACGTCTGGCCCACGTAAGCAGGCAGAGAGGTGCAGTGTGGTGGGTGATGAGCTTTGGAAGTGATTAATTTGGTTTTTGTTATCCTTGAAAGCACATTGAGGTGATGTAGGCATTTTTTCACATTCAGTTATCAGTTAGCACTTAGCATAAGTGCTAGATGGTTCCTAGATAGCCAGCTATCCCTGCTAAGATGGTTTGCCACATCTACCTCCCTGTTGTGCTACCTTCACGCGTTTGTTACACTGCACCCCAACTAACGCACTCTGTCGCCGTCGCAGCCCCAGCGAGCAGTGGCCGGAGGGTCTGAACGCCCTGCTGGCCCGCTCTCTGCGCCACCGTCGTGCTCGCGGCAGCAGCAGCTCGGCCGTCCCCGCGGCGGCCGGCTCGGCTCCCCCGTCTGGCCCGGCGCCGGTGGCGGCCGCGGCACCCGGCGGCCTGCAGCGCGGCCACCAGATGATGGCGCGCGCCGCGCAGATGACGGCCGTCCGCCAGCGGCGCGGGCAGCGCCAGCAGGCGGCCGAGCAGCAGCGCCAGACGTGGCGCCGCCAGGAGAAGGAGCGGCGCATGCGCGAACAGCAGCAGCGCGCGCTGCGCGACGTGAGCGGCGTGACCGACACGACCGAGCTGGTGGGCAGACTGCAGGTGAGAGGCGCGCACGGAGCTGCGGGGCGGTCCCGCCGGCTGGCTAGGCTAGGCTGAACTGTGTGGAACTGTGAGGTGGTCAGCTGCTGCAGCCTGCACACCGCACAGTGAACCGGACTGATGCGTCCAGTCCCCAAAATGTCATAAATGGGTGGTGTGTGGCAGACGTGCAATGATCTGATCTGACCACTGCTAGAAGGGCGGTATGTGGCCCGGACATTGGTGTGTGGCGGTCGGAACAGTAGCCCGGACCGACCCCCTCTGTGCCCGGCAGGCAATGAAGGAGCGGTGTATAGCCGGTCGGTGACCCTCGCCCCTCTGTACCCGGCAGGCGATGAAGGAGCGGTGCATAGCCGGCCACGAGCAGGATGTGGTGGCCGCCGTCCAGTCGGTCATCAACCCGCTGCTGCTCCACATCAAAGCCATGGAGGGTGTCGACACCGCGGTCAGTTCTGCGCACTGTCTTAAGCCTGAAACAGACTCTTTCCGCAGTCAGGAAATCGCATGCGAGAGCCTATTCAAATACATGGAAGCACGCTCGCATCAATCGCACGCACCTCCCGCAAGCGATTGATGCGAGAAGAATTATAATGTATTTGAATAGGCTCTCGCATGCGATTTCCTGAACGCGGGGAAAGAGTCTGTTTCAGCCTTTAGGATGATTTGACGGGACAATATCACATTGATTTAGTGTTTTATATATATAATAAAAGTATCTTCATTTAAGATGCAAAACTGGGGCCATTTTAGCCAATATATTTTATTTTGAATGCTAGAACAATTGCCTGATGTGGCAAGAGTCCGAGCATGAAAGCACTAATTTTAAAAATGCTGGCTCAGAATCATGTCGTTTGTCATTTGTTTTCATGCTAGCCAGACACGTCAGCTGCTGATTGTACAATATATGTGCTCACTCGTCGCTCTCCGCCCTGTGGTGTTTCAGTCCCACCTGCGTCTGATGCTGAAGGATCACTTTCTGCCGGACAAGCGGCGCGTGGCGCAGCTGTACGGCGACGACCGGGCGCGCCGCGTGCGGGAGTACCAGTACCAGGTGGTCGTCCTGCTGGAGGCCTGTTGGGTGAGTGCAACCCCGTCTCCATGGTTCATAGTTAATGCCAGGGATCCGACCATTCCGTATTGCTTCACTGTTCCGCTAATTACCGTCAAAGTGGAGAATCAGGCGACCGACTGTGCGTATGGGTGGGAATTGGTGTGTGATCTATATTGTGATTTATAAGATGTCTGTCCAATCTCCATATCCATCCATCCGTCATGCCTAAATTGTCGGCGCGTGGCTACGTGAAATTTGGCATGCGGAATCTGTGGGTTGAAGCGACCTTCGTATTTTGGCAATGAAACAGACATATTCGGAAAGCACATTCTTCTGTGATTAATATCCAATCAAAATGTCATTGAAAAGTCAATGCACTTTCGTGAAAATGACTCAAGCATACGACCGTGTTTTGGTAACGTTACATGTATTTTTAAACGAAATATGATCGATCTGATCAATCATCATCAATCATGTATTCTTATAACACTCCACGTGGTGGCTCTTCCGGTTACGCGTCACATTTTACAATGGTACTCACATTCATGCACATTCACATTCATAATCCCCTGTGGATGAATCGGAGTGCTCTTAGAATGGTGAAGAAAAAACATCACGCTTGGGTTCGTTTTCTGAACACCAAGGACAGTAATGATTACGAAAGTTATGTCAAGGCAAGAAATGAAGCTACCCACGCGACCAGGAAAGCAAGGCGGGAATTCGAGTCGAAGCTGGCTAAAGAAGTCAAAGGAAATCACAAAGTGTTTTGGAACTACGTCAACCGTCGCAGGAAATCAAAATGTGGTATCTCGGACTTGCGTAGTGCTAATGGTGAACTGGCAACTAACGACAAGCACAAGGCTGATATATTGAATCATCAGTACGCAAGCGTTTTCACAAAGGAAGACAAGTCATCGATCCCAACGCTAGCTCCAAAGCCTTTGGAGGCAGAGATGCAAGTTGCGATAACTGTTCAGCGAGTCCATGCCAAGCTGAAAACACTGAAGATTGATAAATCGCCAGGCCCCGACAACATGCACCCTCGTGTTTTGCACGAACTTGCTGACCAACTTGCGACACCCATCACATCTCTGTTCTGTAAAAGTATTGAAACTGGAGAAGTTCCACGGCAGTGGAAGGTGGCCACCGTCACGCCAATCTTTAAAAAAGGCGACAAAAGTGATCCCGCGAACTACCGACCAGTGTCACTGACATCAATGTTATGCAAGATTCTGGAGAGGATCATATGCGAGGACATCATCGCTCATCTGAAGACAAACAATCTTATCGCTCGCCAACAACATGGTTTCATCACAGGGAAATCTACGGTCACCAACCTACTGGAAGCTCTTGATATTTGGACGGAAGCGCTAAGCCACAGCTTACCAGTGGATGTTGTGTTTCTGGACTATGCCAAAGCGTTCGACACTGTGCCCCATGAACGGCTTCTAGCCCAGGTCCAGGCTCTAGGGGTGAATGCAAAGACTCATCAGTGGATAAGGAGTTTTCTAACAGGCAGGCGGCAAAGAGTGAACGTCAATGGATCACTCTCAGACTGGGGGTATGTAACAAGTGGAGTGCCGCAAGGCTCAGTGCTCGGGCCTCTCTTGTTTTCCATGTTTGTCTGTGATGTTCCCGACCTCTTAAATTGTCATATCTCTATGTTTGCGGACGATACCAAGGTCTACCAAGTCATCAACGAGCGCGATGGTGAACTTCACAATCTGCAAGAGGACATCAACTCTTTGCAAGATTGGGCAAAAACAATGCAGATGATCTTTCATCCACTCAAGTGCAAGGTCATGCATCTAGGACCAACAAATCCTGGAAGTGAGTATACCATGACAACTATGGGTGGAGGCAAACATACCCTTGAAGCAGTCTGTGAGGAAAAGGACCTGGGAGTCACTATAGACATGAAGCTATCCTTCTCAAAACATGTCACTAACCAGATTAACAAGGCCAATAGAATTCTTGGTGCAATCAAGCATACCTTTGCAAACATTGACAGCGACATTTTCAAAGCCTTGTACAAAAGCATTGTCAGGCCCCACCTCGAGTATGCAACTGTTATATGGAGTCCCAAGTTCAAAAAGGACAAAGATGCACTCGAACAGGTGCAGCGGCGGGCAACAAGGCTGGTGAACGGACTGTCTCACCTTTCATATTCAGATCGCCTCAGGAGCCTTAATTTACCTACTCTGGAATTCCGACGGAAACGGTCGGACATCATCGAGACTTTCAAAATATTGAAAGGCTTCGACAAGGTGGACTTCCAAAGAGAGTGCCCGTGTTGTCACAACAGCATGTTCAAGAACTCTCTCAGCCGTGTCACCCGAGGTCACGATCAAAAACTTCAAGTTCAGCATCAATTGGGACCCAGAAAAGCCTTCTTTGCGGCACGAGTAACTCAGACATGGAACAAGCTGTCAACCCTTACCATCGATGCTCCAAATGTCAATGTGTTCAAGTACAGACTGGGGAAGGAATGGAAGGACCACCCTGAAAAGTTCAACTACAAGTTCTCATACTAATGATCATCGTGGCCATCAATGTATGGCCTCACCTAGCATGGCAGCCTACTCGTCTTCGTCAGAAGAAGAGGAGGCATCTCTTGAGTAAAGGGTCTGATTACTCGAAAGGGTACCTAATGACCTTTACTTAAGGTAAATACTTAAGGTAAATAATAAAAGGTAGGTATGAAAAATAAAAAGTAGAAATAGGTACAAATAAAATGAGAGACATCAGATATCGGCTGGCTGGTGGTGCGATCATTGCGCCCGCCGAGTACAAGTCCGCGAGCTCGCCGAGTCGCGCGATACCGACTTGCTGCTGTTCCATGCGGAAACAGCACGGAATGCAAAGCAGCGACGAGCAATCTCTGTACGGACCCTTGGCAGCTCCAAGAGTCTGTCGGCTGTGCCTCGAGTGACACGGCTTGACACGGTCTCACAAGTCACACGCTCTCTCAGGCACACAGGCGAACGAGGCGAGTGCAGAATCATGTGCATCGCCGCCAAATCACGCTGTTATAACAGATCGTCAAATCGTTGCCAGCCCAGCTCAGCTGATCGACGACTTAAAGCCGACAGGTCATTCAACTTTTAACAATAGTCATCACAGCATGGGCTGCAACGGCTGTAATGCACCGCCCGCCAAGGGGAATTCGATAACACTGAAATATGCGCTTACCAGTAAACAACACAGATTTGCACTATAATAGCAATAATTATAGCAATAATTCAGTCGCTACCGAGCCGATTGTGCTGAAACTTGAACTGTGGGTGGACAGGGCACTCGCCAGGCGATGCATGGTCATGTCTCACAAGTGGGGTGGACCGACTGTACTTGCACAAGTAGGTAAGGGGTCCGCTTCTTTAGTCTCGGGAAGGGCTGGACCGATTTCGCTCAACTGTTGTGCACTGTTAGGGACAATTTAGGGAGGTGTGTGTTACAAGTCACCTCGAGTCTCAGGTGGGTGTTATTGAAAAAAAATTGATTGCTACCTTTCTATAAAGTCATATCTCACTGATAATAGGGTGAACTGTGTAACTTCCAAAAAGGACAGCACACTGCCGTTTTGGAATCGCTTGCGGATCCGTTTAGGGGGATGTATCATGAAGACTCCTTCTGCCGCAGAGGGGGAAAAGAAACATCATGAACGATATAAGTATGTATTTGTGGAAGGAGTTTTTGTTTGAAGTGCTAATACCAAATAATAACCGTTGTTCATTTCTTTATGTCTGTTCATTGGTATCGGCGCGCAAGTATGACGATATTTTACCTTGCTGTTGTCTCGCTCAAGGTAGTTTTTATGGGTCTGATCTTCATCTCAACTTCTGGAATGTAGTAATTTACGCCTGGCCATTTGTTCCAAGTGGTGCGCCGGTACTTGGTCTGTCTGTTGTAGCGATGCTGTCCGTTTAGATTGGCGCTCTGGCAGGCTCTGTACCACCAGCCTGTCCGGAATTTGCGGCCGCAATGAATCCTCTTGGCCATGTCCTGATCTTTGTCTGGGGTGCTGAACATGCAGTCATTGTGGTACATGAGACTGTCTCCCGCGTCGCCGGTGTAGTTGCCGATGGAGAGCCGGTACCCATTGGCCTCGTTATCCACTCTGAAGTGGCCGTAGATGGCGTGGCGCCGGTTACCCTTGGAGTCTGCCAGGTTCACCCGCAGCTCGTACTGTCGGTCTGTCGGGCCCGTCATCTGGAACATGTTCTCCAGCCCCCACCAGAACTCTCCGTGCGGCTGGCCGAAGCCCGTCTTGTACTCTGCCCAGCCGCGGTTGAACCCCAGCAGCGGCTTGATGAGAGCGCGCCGCTGGATCACCGTCCACCCGCCGCCGTCCCGCTCCAGGTCGCAGAAGGCCTGCACGGCCGGCTGGCTGTGGATGCCGGGCAGGCCCAGCGCCAGGCGGTACACCCCACTTGGTGAGTGGGCCGGCAGGTCGCTACAGTCGCGCGGCAGCGCAGTCTCAGCCGCCGGTCCCGAGCTGTTACCCAGCCCGTCCACTCGCGATGATAACTCGTCCAGACGAGAAAACAACTCGTCCAGACGAGAAGTCAGCTCGTTGAGTGCTGACGCGTTGTCCGGACGGTCGCTCTGCTGATCAACCTGTTTCTCCAGTTCAGATTCCAGCTCATCAATTCTGGAGCTGAGTTTGCGTTCGTGGGCATACAATTGTTTTTGTACCCTCCCAATATAATGCTCAAGTTTTCCTCTAACGGTTTTGACTTGAAATGTTAATTCCTGGATTGATGACTCAAGCATGCTATTTATTGAGGTGATTTGAGCGGACATTTCGTTGTGAGAGGAGTTAATTCTGCTTTCCACGACCTGAAGCTGAGTCTCGAGCATCTGGTTAAGCCTGTCTTCAACTTCACTCTCCTGTTCTTTGACCTGCCCGGCCAGCTCCTTGAATCTCGACTTACATTGCTGCTGTGTGGATTCTATTAGAGACGTCAGCTCGTCACAATTGCAACTATGTTGTTTGGAAATTGTGTCGCTGAGCTGGGATACTTGGTCACCAAGTGTTGCCATTTCCTGATTAACATTGCGCAGTTCTGACACAGCAGATTCAGTGCGAATCTCTGTCTCATGCAATCTTTTGTCAATTTCGATCAAAGGATTAGTTTTCGCTGTTTTCTGGCTTAGCACGTCAAGTGGTGCGGTGATGAGAGCTATCAGACATACCAAGCCTCCACTGTGCCACAAGCCAGCAGACATTGTGGTGGCGAAATACGAATAGTTTTTACGTTACCTTAGTATCCTTCAGTCAACAGTCAGGAACCGCCTTATGTCTTTTCAGCTCGTCCGTTAGATAGATTTCGGATAGTTTGATGTTATTTTTTGTAACGATTGGCAAACCATGCTATTACAAAATAACAAAATGTGTTGAGTTGATTTATAATGTCTGTTGAATGTTTCCGAAATTAGTTGTTAATTAATTTCACCTAGGATTTAATTTCCAAGTCGGTTAACATCAAAATAAAGCAGATGCTAAAAGCGCTAAAGCGCCTGTTATTTTTCTGGTCCCATCACGCATATTCTGTATAAGGGCACTTACAATATCGTAATTTTCTCCAAACTTCCCCTTTTGTTGTAACATCAGTAGGCATCTGCCGCCCCTCCAACTTATGCAAAGCAAGAAAATTGCAGTAATCGCAAAATTATACGATTTTTTCCAAACAATCGATGTTATTTGTCTGATCAGTAACACCGCGGAAGTCACAATTGACATGGGGAGCACGGGAGTAGAAGGGGCACATCGCGAAGAGATGTTGGGCACGCTTCGAAAGGAAGGCGGGCCATGATGTCTTCGCATTTATTACTATTTTGTATTGACAGTGACAGTTATGTGGCTTGCTGACTGGTGAATATTCCGCTATCCGTTTAAACACGTTCCAACTCATGCCATTCCCGAAATTCTATGAATAATCTTCACTGGCATGGCGTTAAGCCTCGCTTATTTGGTTTTTCATCCCTTTTACTGGCTTTGATACCGCACATTGCGCTAGTCTCTGTACTGTCCTCTGCAGTCCGTAATGACCCGTATATGCATTGTTCACCTATCCACTGACGTTTACACTGATGTATGAGCCGACATCTGCGATTAGCTCTATGCTTACCGATGTGTTGATGTGCTCACTATCCAGGTGCTGGGCGGTGAGATGAGTGAGGAGGACAAGGAGCAGCTGTTGGACCTGCTGCGGATGACCTCGCTGCACGGCAGTCCGGCCGCCATGACCGAGTTCATGGAGCTCACTATGGTGGAAAGGTCAGTGCTCACCGCTCACCATGGTGTAAAGGTCAGTGCTCAGAGCGTTCCTAGCCCATAGAGGCTTATAGACTGACTTGGTGTAGTTTGACACTGATATGAACGGCAGCCAGCCGGCAGTCTTTGTCTGACGTGTCTTGTGTCCGACGACTGACTACCGTTTTATATCCTCTGACCGCTGTCCTAGCTATATCCTGTGTTCACCTCCTTTGTCCACCGACTGACGGCTGTCCCGCGTCCACCAGCTACCAGCACACGCAGCCGGACCTGCTGCTGGAGCTGTACGAGGAGCTGTGTCAGCCGCCGCCGGCCGCGCTGCTGCAGCTGCTCTCTCCGAGCCGCGCGCCGCCCGACAGCTGGCGGCCGCCGTCCAGCAGCCGTCCGCCGGGCAGCAGCGGCGGTCCGCCGGGCAGCGTCAGCAGTCTGCTGAGCGGCTCCGGCCCCGGCAGCCAGGCCGTCCTGCTGGCCCGCAGCGCCGCCCTCAGCCGGCAGCCCAGTCTGCTGGACGCCGCCAAAAAGCGCCAGATCATGGTGCCCAAGCCGAAGGAGCTGTCACGCCACGCTAGCCACAGCAGCGGCAGCAGTCGGTCGATGGTCCTGGCGTCGGCGGCGGCGGCGCGGGGAGCGGCAGCGGCGGCCGCCCGGGCTGGTCCCTCCTCCGGCTCCGCACAACGGCCTCCCAGCGGCTCCAAAACTGGTGAGAGCAGATAGGGTGTGCCCTGGAAGCTCGAATGCGGGTAGTGTATTGGCGATCTTGTGTGCAGTGCTAAAGTCAATAACACTTTCTTGCATATTTTGATTTGATGCCTTTTGCGTTGTCATGGTTAAGCTGCATATTACCTACGCCATTTTAGTAATTGCTATATCTAACTCTTGACGTTTTCCTTCCCGTAATTTTGGCTGCCGCTTTTGGCTTTCATATGTCTTGTGTTGCGACTTGCGGTACACCAATCGCCCTCTTTCGCCAAGAGCCCGTTCCGCCCCGCTCTTCCCTCATACCTGACAACCAAATATTAACAGCACTCGTCCCCCACCCTCAGGCGAGAAACGGTCGCTGAGCTCAGGCCGAGTAAAGCGGAACCTGTTCGAGTCTCTGGGCCGCAGTCCACGCCGATCACAGCAGGGTGCTACGCGCACTGCCGTCTCCCCACAGCGGCGCTCTCTAAGTGAGTACAAAGGAGTACTATGAGCGAGGCGCGGTAGTAGTTGTCTCATCGAAGATTGCTTGACTAGCAAGTAGCAACTGCACCGACCTGCGGGGACTAGCAAATTGAAATTACAGACGGCATCCTCCACCTCGTACGGTCATTTACGATCTCTTCGTTACGATCATTTCATGAATTGACAAAATGTGTATTCATAGCAGCTGTATTCTGCACTTCGTGTGCTGAGATGTTACTCCCGTATTATATTCAGCGGCTGACGTCTCTCTTGCGTCACCAGACTCGTCGTTCGTACCGGAGACGCCGGCGCAGAAGAACCGCACCCGGCGACGCACCGACTCCGGAACTGCCGTGGTAAAGGAGAGCCCAGAGGCCAAGGAAGCAGGTAATTGCTTTTGAATTGGGAAACAGTCTCGGAGACGGGGTGGAGGAGTGATGTGATTGGCGTGTGCATTTATTATTTTTGCTTCAGGTGATAGGTTGATCATTTTCCGTCTAGGCACTTATCATGAACACACCAGAATATTCTTTATCTGTGTTAACGTACCGGTACCGTTTTTTATCTTTGTTTGACAAATCTAGAGTTAACATTGTCTAAACGTGCTATTTTCATACTTGTGGGCTTTTCAGACAACCAGTATGTCATCTAATGCGTCTAACTTGATACGGCTACCGTATATGACCTTGTTGCTTGTGTATGGGCGCCGATGACCACTGTAGTCCGGGTGCCCCCCCCCCCCAAAAAAAACAATTCATCATCATCTTGTTACTTGTGTGTCCACAGACGGCGGCGTCGGCCTCACCCCTCGCCGGGCCTCGCAGCGGCTGACGCTCACACGGCGCGCCTCCTTCTACAACTTGGAGGAGGGCTCGCGGCACTTTGCGCGCGCGCGCCATACGGTGCTGGCCGAGCGGCTGCAGCAGTCTGCGCCGGCGCCGACGGCCGCCAGCCGGCTGCCGGCCGACCCGCAGCTCTGCCGGCCACTGATAACGCGGCTGTTCGGCGAGCGCGGCCGCACTGAGAGCGCTGAGTCGGCCTCCTCACTGGCCTGGGGGCTGGACTCGCTCTCACCTCCCGCTGTCACGGCGGACGGCGCGGAGGGAGACGGCCCTGCGTACGGCGGAGACGGAGACGGAGACGGAGACCCGGGCGGCGGGGACATAGACGGCCCTGGAGACCTGGATGGCGGCAACGGGGATGGGCCCGGCAGAGTGCCCGACACACCCAACCGGCGTGTGCAGTTCGATCTGACCCCGGCCAAAGGAGGCGCTCGCAGCGCAGCGCGCAGCAGGACGCCGCGCAGCATCCTGAAGGCGACACCCGGCTGCGTCTCCAGTCCAGACTTGTTCGGCACTCCACGCAAGACGACCCCGCGCGCCAACGCCAAGCGGAAGCGACTGTTCTCCACCACGCCCAGTAAGGCGGAGCGGGCGACGCCGCCGCCTCCGCCCGGCGCTGGCGCGGAGGCGGCCGGTCCGTCGGGGAGCGGACTGCTCTCCAGTCCTGTAGCGGGGGTGGAGCTGGCTGAGGATCCGACGGAGCGCACCCCCGATCGGGCGGCTCGCGCGGCACTTCTGGGAACACCCCTGAAAAAGGCCACAGTGGTGCTCAGCCCTCTCAACTCGCCCCATCGCCGCCTCATGTCGCCCCGACGCAGTGTCTCAGTCGCAATAACTTGTCTCTCTCCACGCTGCACCGCAGCCGCCCCCGGCACGCCGCCTCGGTCGGGGAAGCTCCGTACTCCGAGCAAGTCTCCGGTGGCCCGGTTCCGACCAGATCTGGGTACGCCGTCTAAGAGGACGCTGTCGCTGTCTCCGTCAGTGGTTCGAACACCGCCCCGGGCCGCATTAAAAGCAGTCGAAGTGGCGAAGAGTTCAGTGATGGAGCCGGTAGAGGCCGAAAGCGAGCTGATGACACCTACCAAGCCGGCTCCCGATGGCGAATCGGAGTCCCGACCGGAGCCCCCGCCGGTGGAGGACGAACCCGAGTCGACGCCGAGCAGCCCGGTGATCTCCCGCGGCCGGTCTCGGTCACGCTCCGGATCGGCACCCAGAGGGCTGCGGAGGCACTCGCCGGCACTCGTCACCGCGGCTGGTGATGGGCTGGGCACCCCGGCTCGTGCTCCGCAGCGAACCCCGGCCCGCAGTCCCCCGCGAACTCCGTCCCGCAGTCCGGGTAAAGACGCTCACCAGACGCCGACCAGGACCTCTCCGCGGCGACATCAGACTCACACGCCACCACAGAGTCGAACTGTGAGGTCTCCAGTGACTGAAACTGAGACGTCTCTGCGGTCTGAGGTTCGAACCCCGCCACCGACGGAGCCTCGAACACCGCCCCGGACTCCCCAGCGGACACCGCCTCGTCCCGGCGATGGCTCGCCCCACAAGTCGCCCGTTGTCAAACCCGACCTGCAGACTGGGGCCGAGCTGGTGCTCCGTTCGCCTGCCAAGGATGCGCCGCCGCCGCGACAACGCTCGGTGTCTCCCGACATAGGTCCGGCTGGAGACGGTCTGGGCGCCGCACTGCTCGCTCGGTTCGGGCCCCCGGTGGGCGCCACGTCCACACCCACCATCGCACCAGCACGGGTCGGAGCTGTGGCGGCGCCATGGGAGAACACCTCGCACTTCTCCCCGCCCAGAATGGCCACCGACTCGGGAGAGGAGTCACCGGTCAAGATTGACATCACCGGTATACTCGATCTGCTCGACGAGCCGATAGAATCGCCTACTTCGGCCATGTCTACAGCAGAGTTCGTGTCTGTGATGGAGTCGTACCTGGAGAACACGGCTGAGTCGACCATGCATTCGGTGCCGGATCTCTGTTTGACGGATATTGCTGAACTGGAGGCGGCTGCCGAGGGTATCGATTTCGGAGCGTTGGCGGGACAGCACGGGACGCCGGTATTGATGGCTGAGACGAGCGCAGCGCTGCCGGCGGCTGATTCGTTGGCAGAGGCAGTGGCAGAGACGGCGATGGAGACAGCAGCGGCTGAAGCGGTGGGGTCTGAGGCGGCAGAGACGGTGGTACAGTCGGACCCTCGCGTGCGGCCGTGCTATGTGCTGCTGAGTCCACTGCGGTGGCCGCCGTCTACAGCCGCCCGCCCCGGCCCCCGCCGGACCTCCAGGCCGCCGTCTCGGGCCCTGCGGTACTCTCGGAGTCGGGCGCTGCGACACAGCCTGTCAGAGGTACTGGCCGCCCGTGCGGCGCCGCTGTACGAACACGGTGCTGACGTTCAGGTGCGCCGGTCTGCAAGCGCTGGCGACCAGTGGGTGTTGTCAGAGAGCACAGCAGCCGTTCAGGGAGAGAGCTTTGACAGCTGTCGCCTCGGTGACACGGTAGTAAGTGATGCCACCCGAAACCAGACGAGTCTCGGCGTCAGGGAGTCGGGAGAGTCATTTGTGGCGTCTTCCACGGGCGGAAAGGACAACTCAGGGTCCAGAGGTGGTATCGGGGAAAGTCTGAGCATGATCAGTATCATGACTGACAGCGTATGGAACAGCACAGCTTCTAGTGGAGCCGCCCCGGCGGATTATGATGGCCGCCTGGCGGCCAATCTTAGCTGCCAGTCAAGCGGTGGGTTTGATCAGTCGGAGCGGGTCGACGGTGAGCTGAATCATCTCTCGCTCTCAGGCGCGGAGGACGGCGCGACGGCGGACGCAGCTCTACTGAAAGCTGAGTGTCAGTCAGCAGAGGCACCCGAGCGGTCAGACCGATCTACAGCGTCTAGAACCGCATCTGAGAATGAAACCACGAGCTCTACGTCCTCACCGGAGCGGCCGGGCCGGAGGAAGAAGAGGGCCCGCTCTGAGGTGTCCTCATCGGGTCCTCAGACGGAGGACTCGCAGCGGGAGGACGGGGAGGACACACAGAGGGGCGTCAGGCAGCTGCGGAGTGGCCGGGCTCTGCCAGAGAACGCTACACCGCCAGCGGGAGGTCATGGTGACGGCTCTTTGGTTGGTGGAGACGAGGCTAAGCGAGGTGCCGGTGCTGCCAGGACGTCGGCCGACGTTGCGAGTACGTGCTCACGGCGTAAGGCCGGGCGGAGAAGGAAGCGCGCTCGTCTGAGTGACTCACAACTCACATCCGACGCGGCGCGGTCGGTGGATTCTGAGCGTGCCGGTGAAGAGAGCCGTCAGGAGAAACCCGCAGCGTCTCGGCTAGTCAATGAGCCGAACGAGGACAGCCGCACCTCCTCTGATACCGGCCGACTAGCTGGCACGCCACTCCCTGAGACCCCCATCCCCCGACGTAATGGCTCTCTGATCAATGTCACCCCTTCCAAAGAGCCAACGGATACGTGGCAAGTGACCGCCCTCAGTGCGCGAAAATTGTCCCCCAATTCGAATAGGGACAGTCCTTCGATCAGGATGAGGTTCCGGCTGACAGCCTCATCTGTATCGTCAACAGCGAGCCAGAGCCCGTCCCGCTTCAAATGTCTGGATTCCCCGGATTCAGGCCAAGAAGACAGCGATGCTGTTTTTGTAAACGAACGGGACGGGATTTCTTCGAGTGATGAACGCATGTGGTCCGCAAGTCCCAACGCAAGTCGGTCTACTCCGTCACAGTCCAAACGCACAACAAGACTCTCACAGAGCCCCGTGTCAAGGTCACAACCCCGCAACTGTTCGAAGAAAATCAAGAAGCGTGTTTTGGAGCCACGGCCCGCCGATTCTGGTTCTAGCGTGGAACACAACTCTCGCCTGTCAAACCCAGCCAGTGAGCTGGGCCAAGATGAGGCGGTCACTCGCGTTAAGCCGACCGCAGGAGCATCGTGTCGCCGCGTTAAATCGAAGAAATCGCGATCTACGGCGACCTCGGCCGGAGCAGGATCCGCGTCCCGAACGGGCTCGACTGAGGAGGCGGACGGTGCTACGGAGGGTGGGGGGCGTCGACGGAGCGATGGAGTGTCGAGAGGCGATGCGGCCGCCGAGCTGGCGGCTCGTCTGGAACTGGTGAGGCGGCAGACATTGAGAGATCTCATACGACCGGGTGGTCGAGAGTCCCCTGAAGGCGAGCGGAGGGTGGAGAGCACTCCGGGGTCGAACCGTCAGGGTGGCAGGGAGTCGGGAAGCGCGACTCCGCTAATCAAGGATATTCCCGAGCTGGCAGGAATGGCGGCGTCGCGAGGCTCTGAACCGCTCACGCCGGCGTCGGCAAAACGGAAACGGTTGACGCTGTGCGATTCTGATGACGAATCGAGCGACGGTCCGCCACTGGAATTGAAGATCGAGCGTCATGACTCGCAGACGAGGAAAAGGCCGAATGACGACGAATCGAGCGACGGACCGCCGCTTGAAATGAAGATCGAGCGACACGACTCGCAGACGAGGAAATGGCCGGAAAAGGAGCTGGTAGAATCGTTCCCGGATGGCCTCAAGATCAAGAAAAGGCCGAGATACACAGTCACTTCGGCTCGGCAGAAACTGAGAGACACGCCGACTACCAACGGAGAAGAACGGGCATTGACGGTTCTGGAAAACAAGATGACGGAAAACCATCTTATCGCTGGAGACAGTCGTGACGAAGCAAGGAAGGAAAAGAAGAGTAAGCGGCCGCGACCGGAGCCGCTCGCGCTGCCGGCCGGCGCGGAGACTGTCGGTGCCGACGGGTCCGCGTCGTCGCCGTCGCTGACGCCATCGACGCGCGGCAAGAGGAAGGAGGTGAGCTATGCCGAGTTCTCCGAGGACGACGAGGCCGTGTTCCAGCTGATGGGGGAGGCCAGGACCTCCCCACCGGAGGAGCCGAGTGAGGGACACTCCCGCGGTGGGATACGGTCCCGGCGAGACGGCCAGGCGTCCCATGCCTCCCATACCTCCGCCGCGGCGGCGGGCGCGCCGACAGAACCCCCAGTGGACCTGCCGGCTCCCGTCCAGCCGTCTCGGTGGCAGCCGCACCTGCCGTCCTCACTGCCGCTGCGTACTCCGCCGCGGCAGCGCCTCACACGGAACCGGGTCCAGGACATGGGCCTGGGTCTGGACGAGGTGAACGCCCTGGTGGTGAGCCCGCTGACGCCGCTGGCGGGCCGGGCCGCCGGCTCGAGCAGTAAGAAAACCTTCACGCCGCCGACGGCGCTCAGTCTGATTAACCTGACCTCGTCGCCGATTATGGCGCAGGTGCGGCCGGCGAAACGCGTGCGCCGGGCGCTGCACCACTGACCTGAGGTCACGGGGGAGGGGGCTGATGTGGTCGGATGATGGTTCGTGTAGGACCTGAGGACTCTGGACTTTCAGGTGGGGTGTTCGCGGTGTGTGGGGGTACCATAGAATGCATGTCATGACGTTAGGCGTTGGCTTCCACCCATTCATTTCTTATAATTATAGGGCAATGAAGCGAACTGAATTGGTTTTGGCAGACAGAACGCTTTTTTGTGGACTGATCAAATGGCTATCTTCGGAAATTAGTTGAAAAGTATTATTCTGTTTCAGGCTGTATCTAATGAGTTGCATTGTTATGCATTGCTATTATCCGTCTTCTTTCGTAATAGCCTTGAGATGGTGCGTCGCTGGGTCGCATCAGTACTTTGCACGCCGGCCCTGCCGTCTGCGTGTGTCCGCCTCAAACTGCCAAAGTGAGCTGTTTGCCCCGTTCTAGGCGGTCTGCGCGGCCGTGCAGTGATGATCCAGTGACTTAGCATGTTTATAGAGTGCGTTGACATGTGGTGACGACTGGTAGTTTTCTATGCGTGTGTACTGAGGAAGCCAAATACATTATCAGTTTCAAGTTATCTTTGCGGTACGTTGGGAAATGCTCTCGAGTGGGAATGTGATATACCCAAGATCGTCATTCCCATTTATCAGTCCGTGGACCAACTCCTGAATGAATGATCTCCACTCCTGATCTCGATCTCCAACTCCTGAACTCGGCGGCCAATCATCCAGCTCATATGTATATTCGCTCATGTCTCCACCGCGGCGGCATTCCATATCACACATATCCGGGATGCCCTTCCACATAAATAACAATGTATATCTGAGTATAACAACAGCGGCGCCACCGCTCCTGCCAGCAGCGGCGCCGCACCGCGGGCGAGATCGTCTCAGATGCAGTCCCTAGTCGCTGATAGTCGCGTGCGTCCACTCGCTCCCACACACACACACACACACACATACCAATACACACGGCGCGAGGCAGACGCCATCTCGGCTACACAAGTCATGGCGCACGTGGCAAGACTCGCATTAATCACAGAACGCTTGCCATCACTCGTCTCACGCCGCTACAAGTTACACAGTCGCCTCCGACGGGCGACCGATACGCCAGCCGCCAAGGCACGGGATACAAGGATAACGCGCAGGAACAAAACAACATTGTCTCACTATCACGGTATTTGCTGCCGGTGCGTCACAGTTCGTTATGCCCGCGCCGGCCGGGCGGGCGTTACGCGGCGGAGGAGCACTGTCGTTCGTCGCTGCCGTCAGCGCAGTCCACCACGCCGTCACAGACGCTGTCCCGCTTCAGACAGCGGCCCAGAGGACACCTGGGTGGGAGGAAGGGGCGTCAGTCAGTGCACGAAGCTCGAAACAGTAAGTACCCTTCGAGACGACAGACTGCGTTTCGGGGCGACACAATCGGGAATGCAGGTTGAAGTAATGATTAAGTCCAGTTTTCTGAACTTAGCAGCGCTAGGTGCCGAGCTGTTAACGTGCGAGGGTGAATTCCCATTAGGACTTACGGCCGTTTACATGAAGCGCAAGCAAATGAATTGAGTCACGTTTATCATATTCCATCGTGCAGTTGTGGAAGTCACTTACACCTTACGTGGCGGCGAAAGAGAGCGCAATCCCGACCGGCTAGAACGGGGCGCTTTTCACCACGTGAGGTGGCTGGTTGTAGGTGTCCGTGGGAACCGGACTGACTCGCACCACTACACCAGCCGAGACCGCGCGGACATTCGGCCGCCGTGGCTCATGCAGCTGGTGATGCTGCTGTTGGTGGGGGTGGTGATCCTGTTGGTGCTGCCAGTGGTTCTGCTCTGTCAGTTTCTCTACTGTAGGCAGTGACTCCGCCTCGTGTTCTGCCTGGACGCGCCGCTGGTGCCGCCGAAGTCTCTCTACCGCCGTCCTCAGCAGCGCCGCCGAGCACTCAACCACCATCAGTACCACCTCACCCAAACTGAGCAGACTCATACCGAGACAGAGGCCGGCCACTCCGCCCAGGTCACGAGCCCACTCTAGCACGCCTGGGACCACGGCAATGAAACGCGTGAACGTGATCTGGGTGAAGTACACGTAGACGGTGGTGTAGTTTGTATCGGGCCTCGGCTCCTGGCTGGCGTACACGCGCACATCATCGGCGACACAGGGCTGGGCGCACGGCAGCTGGCCGGAGGAGACGTTTACGACAAGCTCTGCAACCAGCCTGCCGCAGCAGGTCAGGGTCTGCAGTGGAGAGCAGATCGGCAGAGAGCGATCTTCCGGCTCCTCGTTGGACGGTGGAGCCGTGGCTGCTGTACTGGCGGTATCGGCCGTGCTAGACGTACTCGCCGTGGCATGGAACGGATCAGCCAGTCTGCTCGGGTGGGGCGCCGGCGGCCAGTCGAGTCCCAGATGCCGGCAGCCGCAGTGGTGCCGGTACAGCTGCCGGAGCGCATGCACGGTACAACTGTCGGCTCCGGCCACGGGCACGGAGCTACCGCCCGGCGCCTCCCGCGGCACGGCCACGCAGTCAGGCCGGCCGCCCAGCAGCGAGGTGCGCTCGGCGGTGAGGTCGTGCTCCTCCTTCCACACCTCCAGCTGGACGTGCCGTCCGCGCTCGGCACCCACGCCACCCTTGGCCGTCAGCAGGCTCGGCGGAGTGTAGTGGTTGGTGACCACGAGCCGCGCGCCCGGCACGCCGTGGTACCGACTGATCAGACCGCTGCCGGCGATATCCGCCCGCTCCGACTCTGCCAGAGGCGTCAGTTTCAGCGTCAGGCCGAAGTAGACGCCGCCGAAACTCTGACGGATGTCCACGTCGTAGCTGGTCCAGCAGCGGCCCAGCATGGTGTAGACGGGCCTCAGCAGGCGTCTGCAGCACTCGGAGCCGTTCAGGGTGCGCACCGGGCCGTTACCGCACTCCAACACCAGACTCTCGCAGTATGGTGAGAGCGCGTCGAATACGGCCTGAATGCCGAGCCCCGTGCGGTTCAGCAGCTGCTGGTACTGCTCCTCCAGCAGCGGCACCGGTCCGACCGAGTTGCCGTCCCCAATCGTTCCCACCACGCCGCCCACCGTGTTGGCCACATAGCCGGCCAGCTCGGGGCCGACGCCGAGCCGCCGGGCCGCGCTGCCACTGAACACTCCGGCGTCACACACGGTGACGGCGGGCACCGGCAGGCTGCGAGGGCTCACCAGCTGTACTGCCGACGAGGCGCGCCGCTCGACCAGCACAATCGACGTCAGGGACACAGTAGCTCTGATCAGCAGGCCGGCGCAGCAGAGAGTGAGCACCGTCCATAGCAGCCGGTGCCACCGACCGCCGCGGCGCAGCTGCGCCAGACCGTGGATCGTGCTGTGCTCAAGGAACTGGTACAGCGTCTGCCGAGGACCGTCTTGGAAAGGCGGTCGGCGGGCGGGGCCCTCTCGGGCCGCCGCGGCGGGAGTTACAAGCATGACTGGATCAGCGCGACGATCTGTGACACCCACACGGAGTGAGCAGAGGTGCCCTTCGACCACAGAAGGTCGCCCAGGTCGTTCGGGCCTGGCAGACACCACTGGTGCCGAGCGAAGCTAGGAACACCAACTCCCAACTGGATCCAAACGTGCACCGCTCGAGTGTTCAGTGCGACCTTTGGGTATTTGCTTGTGTCTGTGAACTTTTGCGGTGAGCGATGCGTTTTAGTTGCCGCCTTGGCGCTGGACATCGCCTCAATAATGGCGGCATTGGTCCATTGGTGACGCCTGCCCCGTGTGGCGGGGGCGCCGTTACGCCCTACATCGCTAAACAAACCTTCCTTTCATCGGAAACTCCGGGTTGTGACGGGCCGATCAAAGACTGCACCAGCGCGCCCCGCGTGCCGAACGGCAGGGGAGCGTGTGCGGGAAAGAGGGCACCATAGCGGTCCGCACCGTCCTATTGACTGGTATGCTATTGGTGTTCTGTGTTGACCTGACCGAGACAGACATTAGACGGTTACGTGTACCTCGGTGCTGGCGATAATGTTGGCGATAATTTTGCTCATCGGAAAACCAGTGAAACGAAACAACATCTCAATGCACACATAGGCTGCAGTGCAAGAGTTGTTTTCCTTTGTAATTTGCATATTAGGTGATGGTCTGACATTTCGTAAACATTGATCACCTGCTGTTTACAACCATAACTATCGGTTCAATACGGCAAAATGAGATGATCAGTCGTGACCAAACATTGTGGCTAGTGGCTACGGCAGAACAACACAGACAGTAACATACAAACGGCTGAAATAGCTCGGACATTCCTGCAGGACATGCAAATAGACGTCGATGATTACAAATTACGTACAAACACCGAGAAAAACAAACAACTAAGCCTCTTAAATTCATTACGGTCGATGTAATACCGATGGCCCCATAGCAGACAATGCTTTATTGTACCAAGTGTTTGTGTGGACAAAGGTTTGACACTATTATTGAACGTCAGTCAACACGACTTGTCTTGAATGCACGTCTGCGACTAGGTGCCGTTTTCCATCGAACTGCTAAACATTGAACCTGACCTTTAACTTCTCTGAAGTGTTTTGTGGTCGAGGTCGATCCGCCCCGCTGTTAGGGCCACTGACCCGTACACCGGCTATCACTGACCTGTGACCGTCCCTACTGACCTGTGACCCCGGCAGCGGGTGCGTCGGGCGCGCGGCAGCGGTCCCGTGGTGATCCGCTCGATCCAGTCGACGTAGTTAGCCACCTTGGTGTAGACGCCGGGCCGGAGGGCGCGCGCGCAGCCGTACCCGTTACTGGTGATACCGGTCAGCGTCCACTCGCCGGATGGCTCCTGTGACACACAGACGAGGGTCAGATGGCGATCAAGGGTAACACAGGAGGTGACAAAAGTGACACGGGTGACAAAGATGGCATGGGAGACCTCTGGTCGGCTGCTCGGTCAGTAAATGTCACTCGGTACAGCCCACAGGTGGCACATGTGGCATGGGTAACACAGATGGAATATGTGACACAGGTGACACGAGCGGTGACACGAGTGGTTGAATAACAATCCACAAATGAATATGCTAACTGACCCCACACGGGGACAGAAAGCTCTCGCCGAATTGATACACAAATAAACAGCCGTCTAGGCGTCTAGCTTAAGTTCACCGTCACCAACCTGGCACACAAACAGGAAACTGTTTGTGTGCCAGGTCATGGATCTGACACATGAACAGACACACGTATCTCACTGACCTGACACATGAGTGGTCCGCCGCTGTCGCCCAGGCAGGCGTCGCGGCCGCCGCGGTCGTACCCCGCACAGAACATATCGTCGGTAATTTTGTACAGCGGCAGACGGGAGGTGCGCTTCTTGCACTGCTGGGAGGTGATGAGGGCAGCTCCACCTCTTGGAGGGTGTCGGCTGTGGCATGGACATCCAGCGGTCAAATGATGAACCAATGAGCGGCCATTCCACCGTAAATGCACGCTACTCGTGCAAGGACGGTCATAATTTGCCCAACCACAGTTGGATGATTAAATCTCTCGCCCAAATCTTTAACCTTTAATTAAATCTTTTTATATTCAAGTTAGAAAAGTCATCATTCAAAGACATGTTTGAAAACCTCGTTCCTTCCCATAAACTCATTCCCATAAAATACATAGGTTAACGACTTGTTTGCCCACTTGCCTCCGCGATCGTCAGTCCCACAAGCTCCGGTGCCTTCAGTAACTCACGGAATATCCTGCCGGACTCGAACAGCTGTCCCCAGCCGATCACTGAGCAGATGGCGCCCTCAGTGACCTCGTTGCGGCGCGGCGGCAGGCACACGGGGCGCACAAAGTCGCTCATACTGGAACAGGGGCAGACGATGGGGGCGGGACGGAAAGTGTTACCAATGGAGGTGGTTGTGAAGTGGCTAACCATGGGTCACGGGGAAGACTTCATGGAATAGAAGGATGCTTTACTCTATCATTCGATGAAATTAGCAGCCTGCAGCATGATGGCAGAAGCGGCAAATGTTTTCTACACACCAGTAACCAGCACCGCTATCTTCCCTGTACAGAGAAATGAGAACGGGTTCTCTCTACAGAAGTCAACAAACTTCAAACAATATTTAGCAGTTTCTGAACAGCTTCACTATTTGACCCTCTAGCTGTTATCAGCCCGGAGCCGTCTCTACTAACCCCGCTATCACCTCAACTGACGCCGACTATCAGCTCACCTGACCGAGTCGGCCAGCCGGAGCAGCGCGATGTCGTTGACATATCCAACATCCTCATAGTCTGGGTGGACGATGATGTGGGACACCTGGTGAAGTGATTCGAACGGCGATAGTAGGGTGCTGCCGCGCCGGTACGCGCCCAGTCGGGCCACCCAGTGGTTGGTGGCCGACCTGTGGGGAGGGGAGGGAGTCAGGGTTGGTTCGGGTTCACAGGGGTCAACAGAGGTCGGGGTACGCCAGTGGGACCCTGGACCTGAGAAATAGAAAACCTTATTTGACCCCTGAGAAACAGGGATCAAACAAGATATGCTGCGTTTGTGCAAGACACTAGTTGTTAGCTAAGTAAAGACATGCCGTTGACATGTGGACAACAATTACCAAGATTGCTCAATAAATTGTTAACTTAAGCCGCCATCAGACGTGGCCAGAACTGGTAAGATCGATCTCCAGCTCAGCTGCAGAGTTCAATAGAGTTCAGTATCGGCCCGCAGCCGGTCAAGACCAAGGTCAGTGTCCAGTCGGACCGGCGCCAGGTATTCCTTTCCGGTTTCGCTGACCTCCCGGCGACTTTAGAGGGAATGCTGCCGGTCACGGTGCGTTTATACCCTTCCCAAACCGGCCCGACCTGTCCAGCCAGTCACCAGATGACGGATTAATACCAAACAGGGCTGAATATGCAGCGCAAACTGCGTAAACGGTCACTGACTCGACTGGTGAACGATCTTTGTCAATTATCCTGACTTGTATCTAGCTTATCCGGACATAAATCCAGCGATACGTCTTATAGCAGTCGCCTTCGCAGTTCTTTGCGTTGGGTCGCTCGTTCTACCCGATTTGTTTCAGATGTTACGTAATCTGAGTATGTATCTCCAGCCACAACAACTGCAAACCTGTAGCGTACGTTGCTTCATCTAGCTAAGCATCACACCGATGACATTTACACAAATCACTCCTAAAAACAGCCACATCACGTGACCTGAACACCTGCCCATCTCGTCTTCTCGGCCCAATCACGTGACATCCCAGCTTCTCGTGGCTGCTCGCCTGAGATAGCAGTGGCCAGCGGAGAGCAGCCATTGGTCCACCACCACCTGAGAGCAGCCACCTATCTGGGATGATTGTGGTCCCACACAGGCCACAGCATCCCATCTCACAGTCCGTAGCACCCTCTCACCCTCTTTGCACCACTCCTCTTACCTGAGATAACAGTGACCGGCTGAGGGCAGCCACCTATCTGGAATGATTGTGCTCCCACACAGGCCACAGCAACCCTCTCACTCTCCGTAGCGCCCTTCTCACCGTCTGCAGCACCCCTCTCACCCTCTGTACCACACCTCTCACCCTCTCTGCGCCACCCCTCTCACCTGAGATAGCAGTGACCGGCGGAGAGCAGCCACCTGTCTGAGATGAGTGTGGCGCCGCACTGGTACTCCCCGTCCCTATACATTGCCGCCTGCCACGGCCAGGCGCCTGGGCTCGAGTTGGTGCCACCCACGATCCTGTCAACATGGGGTGGCCGGTCATAACTACTGGGAGAAATTTGGGTTAGCACACTACGAGCTGATCAGAATGGCTCGATGGTCGGCGAAGATCACAGACATTTTACGTGGATAAACTATTCAACTATGCATAAGAAGAAAATCATTATTAAGAAAAGCCAACTGCAATAGTCTTATACCAAACATCTGTTTTAGTCCGCCCCAGCAGGTTGGGAAGGCGACACATTGGGCATCGGGTAAAAAAATACGATTAAAATTTAATTGTGGCCTCAAATCTTCATTCATATAGGGTTTATAGCTTTATATCCTGGCGATGTATCAGAGCGTCAAACGTACCGTGCTCGTCGCTGTTTGACGCGCGGTCTCAGGCCGCACTTGAGACTGTCACAACTGATGTGTACTGCCGTCTGACGGGGGCAGGTGGCCTCCTCAAACACCAGGCTCGTGCTGTAACAGACAGACGTGTGACGGTAAATATCTGCAAATAGGCGTGTGTACCGTGACTGCAGCGGTTGGCAGGACCATAATGGTGTTTACTTCCAGGACCTTTTTTATGAAGGTTATCGATTAAACCACAAATACATTGGAAGTTGGTTATTTCACAAGTTTTGAGTTACCTAAATAGATTTTGGAATAGCTATGTCCGTACCTGTCTGAGGTGTTGCGCGGCGCATCCTCTGAGAGCACCAGTCGGTAGAACGGATCGTCCCGTCGCTCTCGCTGCCGGCGGGACCGTCTCCGGGTGGATGATGGAGCCGAGTCCGTACGGAACACGCCCGTGGTCTCACTGCGAAAACAGGCGACGTGGTTATTAAATGGTGATCGAGAATGCATGGGCTATTGATCTCGAGGTAGTTTGATCAAGACAGCTAGTCCTTACGGTGTCGGTAAGCCAGACAATATTCTATTTCAGCGCTCAAAGTTTACGGGAACTGCAAGGCGATGCAGTCCTATACCATCAATCCCTGTGCAAATATTCACAGTTAGCTTTAGTAAACGATTGACATGTCAGTTCCCATCATTAGCCACTTCGCTTTCTTCTAATTAAGGTTTATCACGGTTCATGCTTACACGACCCGGTACCTTGCCGCTAATTGGGTAAGCAGTGGCTCTTCTTCATTATAATTGCTTATACTTTGCAACCTGTTTAACTAGCACGCTAACCCACTGCCCTAATCTTCGGTTACTGACTGTAGTTACATTCAGCTCGCAATAATTTACGACGCATCGTTTTTCGCATGAGGCTTACGTCTAGCTGGAATACATTTACATACGCTTACCTTGTTACCGTACTGAATGTATCTACACCTACCTAGCCTACCACACACCTAACTCACCTACTTACTTGTAGGTGAGAGCGTTGCAGACGGCCTTCCCCAGCTCCTGGACACTCCAGTCCGTGCCGGTGCGACGCACGAGCGCGTCGAAATCGTCGACACAGAGCGGTCCCCACTGGCCGCGGCGGCGCACCATCAGGTATCCGGCGGACTGGTAGCGGCGCTGGTCGGCGGTCGCCCTGCTCGTGGCCAGTGTGACACACTGGTGTTCGTCGGCGCCGTCCGGACAGTCGTACTCGCCGTCACAGACAGTCTCGGCCGGTACACACCGCTTGGCGCCCGGGCAGATGAACTGGCCGGGCTGACACCAGTCTGGGGAGGAGAGGGGTGTCAGTCTCAAGGAGCAAGTGCGACGAAACTGGCCGGGCTGACACCAATCTGTTGGGAGGTGGAGTGTGTCAATGTCTGGAAGAACACAAAACCAAACTAAGTGGGACGGCATCCGTTCCGTGCTTCTATCCTCAGGATACTGAAATCCTTCTCCTCCACGCCGCAACCCCCCTCCGGGCTGGACAGGCAACTTTATCTCATGCGGGCTGCTCCCTTGGAGCGGCACCGCTGCTCCCGAGGGAGCGCACCCCGTAGCCGGGTGCAGTGAGTGCCTTGGGGCTGGGTGGCCTGTCCTCTGGACGGGCTCAGCCCCGGCGACTCACTAGGGTGCCTGCCCAGACCAATGTCTCCCCCTACATCCTATCATCCTCCCGGCTCTGAAATGGTCTCATTGGACCGAAAGGGCCTAACCCAACAAAACAAAACAAACAAACAAACTGGGACGGTACAAGTCTGCAGGCAGGGGGTGTCAGACTTTTAGCGTCCGGACAACACACTTTGGTCCGGTCCACAGACACAAACCTGTGGGGGGGGGGGGGGGGACGACAATCTCTTGGAGTATGTGCAACCAAACTGACCAGATTGGTAAGTACCAGTCTGAAGGGACGGAGAAGAGCGAGGGATTCGTCAGGCGTAATCCGGAGAGTGAGCGATACTTTCTGCCCACCGGAATGACGATTTTGACCTGGCCATGGCCATCAGGTGGGCGCCGCCAAAAAAGGTCCCGCTCGTCAGGGCCGTCCGATTGTACGGAGAGTTTTACTTCGGCGACAGAGACCGATGGTGTCATGTGCCGCTCTGCGCTTCACCGGGCGACCTTATCGGCCAGACACCGCAAGCAATTCCAGGATTTGTCGTCAGCGTCTGCTGTATGACAACGGTGTTATCCGCAGATTCTCCGAGCTATTAAGATAAACGACAAAACAAGATAGAATGGCTGTAAGTGATGAGTTCATGCACCGCTGACACTGTAACTTCATACAGCTCCAATTGTCTTGTGAACACGGTTATTACATCGAAAAGGACGTTATGACGTCAGGCTGTCGATCTGGGGAGATATGAGGGTAATCCGTAACAATGAGCAGACCGCAGCCTTCGGTTCGAATCATACGGGTAGGTAAGCTGGCCCTGGACAAGAGCTGAGCGCTGAGCAGGCATGGACATCTAACCTAACAAAGGCAAAATTAGGAGGGTGGTGTTGAATACTGATCAAGCGGATCCACAGTGTACTGGGGATCGCTGAGGAGTACAGATCAACCAATGGACAATCTACATATCACACAGTTGATAATTTTAGCCTTTAGGTAACCGGTGCCTGTCAAGTGTCTTATTAACTTCTAGAAAATGAGTCGCAAGTGTTAATCAGCGTTACCAGAACATGACAGAACTCCGTTAATTCAGCATTAATCACTCATGACAGACAGCTTTCATCGTGTCAACAAACTTATGACATTTTCGCGAGCTTGCGATTCTCCCAACCACGCCCAAAGTACCGCACCCATTTGTCTGTAATGGCGTTTTCTTACCGCAGAATTGCTCATCTGTACTATCGTGGCAGTCGATGATGCCGTCGCAAATCTTCCTCTCGAGGAACTGAGCGTTGAGCCGGTCGGCGCACGTGCAGACCATTTCGTCACTGCCATCGGCGCAGTCCCGCAGCAGGTCACAGCGGGACAGGCGCGGGATGCACTCGCCGGAGACACAGCGGAACTGGTCCCCGGACAGCCGGCACCCGGCGGCGTCAGCTCCTCCTCTGGAACAAAAAAGGGTTAGTTTCTAAGCGCTCAAGTTTCACCATTGGTTTCTAGACACCCCCTCGTTTCTAGGGGGAGAAAGTCTAGAGGGGTGAAGAGCATTGGGGAAAACAAGAACGTTATACCTCTAGTGCCAGTGTATCATTTTTGTGCCATTACATCTGTGCAATTATGTAACAGGTACGTACTCGGAAGAAGGCTCATAATGAAGTTGACCGATCACTTTTACATTGTCCCCAAACAACAGAGATGACATCAAAAGAATACAGAGCCGTATTTGACGTAAACATGAACTACATCAGAGCAATTAGGGAAACCAAGAAAAATTGAGTAATACTGCCCGTCCAAGAAATATCCCATTACAATGCAATTTTGCATGTAGCTTCAACACCACATAAATCCCTGCGCCGCTGACGCCTTGCGACTCACCGGGGTAGGTGTAGTTGCTGAGCAGGGACGCCAGTGTCGGCCGAGTCGGCACCACGGCAGAGGGGTGCGCCGCAGTGCCCACCTCGTTATCCGTCTCCACCACCAGCTGTGTGCTGGCCGCCGCCGGGGCCGGCCGGGCAGATACACCCACTACCCTCCAGCGGTGGCTCCGGGGTGGTAGTCAAACGACTAAGCTTGTCCGCCAGTCGGGGAGGCTCGGTCACCCTGGGCCAGTCCGAGTCGGTTGGAAGGCGGAACCGGACCGGTCGCCACTTCTGCGTGGGACGGACGGTGGTGGGTGCCGTGGTGGAGGGATGAGTCGGACGGTAGGTCGGGCGGGAGGAGGGGCGTCCCGGGCGAGCGGTTGGACGTGAGGGACGCGAAGGACGGGTGATGAGACGGACTGGCGGACGGACTGTTGGTTCCGAGTGTGCTGGCCTATCGCCTTGCTGCCGCTGTCTCCGGTTTTATCCTCAGAGTGATGACCTACTGTCATTTCGGATGGTGCTTTTAAGTCTGTCTCCTCCAACAAGCCCATCCGATTAACCTGGTCGATAGCACTGTGCTCCTCGCCGGTCCACTGGACGTTCTCCTTTACGGGTGACCAGAGTTCCATCTTCTCGGAGCCCTGCCACTCAGTCCTGTCCGCCTCAGGGTTCTTCCACAGCTCACTGGAACTACTCTCCGTCACAGCCTTCGCCGCCTCGTCCGACGAGCCTACCTCATTCTCCTTCGAGCTCTCAAACTCGCGCCTCGTCTCGAAAATCCTATCAAGAATATCGTCCACCGTCGCTCCCTCGTCGTACTTAATCACTTGAATCGGAGCGCTGTTGGGAAGACGCGTGGTGCCTTCCAGTCTCCAGCGCCGCTCAGGCCGAGCAGTAGTCGCAAAGATCCCCCGTGAACGCACTCCACGGAATCGCATCAGTTTATCGGCGAGTTTCTCTCTTCTGGGTGGTAGGCGGTGTCGGGAACCGCGCCGAGGGCGTTCGGTGGGTGAAGCAGCCAGCCTCAGACGAGCCGCCAGACTGGCCACCGACTGGGAGCTGTGTAAGGGACGTCGGACGCGCCGCGCCGCTACGGGACCGGAGGCGGAGCTGAGGTCGGCGTCAGCGGGCTCAGCAGGGTGGTGAGGTCTCTGTGAAGAGACAGGTGTCTGGGTTGGACTTGGTAATCTCCGAATGGCGTAAAGCCGAGACCGCGGCTGCGACGAGGGCTCCGAGATATCAGGCCGGTCCTCGCGAGGGTAGTTGAGCCGCAGCCACGCCAAACTCCGCTTATGTCTCAGATTTGCACTGGTCACATTTACTTCATTCACAGCCTCGCCGTTCAACACTGGAACACTCTCACCATCTCCCTTTTTCAGCGTGCTTTCCTTGCCGTCTTTCCGCACTCTGCCGCTGTATTTCCTCCGTCCTGGCCCCCTCCTCTGGGCGGCACCCTCCGACAGACCTGACGCCGCCCGTCCCTCCGCCAGCGACCGTTCTCTGACGCTAGTCGAGGTCACGATGTCTGTATCCAGCACCAATGGCTTCCTGGTGGAGAACATGTCGAAAATGCTGTGTACGGGATCGTTGCCGGTGAAGATCTCAGTGTCGTAGTAGAAGTAGTCTTCCTCGCCTTCCTCATTGGTATCATAGTATGAGGACGGAGGGTTGGACTCATCGCCTACAGCAGGGTACTCTGGATGCGGAAGGGACGGTGGTTTCGGCCGGCTCGGCGGATACACCCCTGAGTATGAGGTCACCGGGCGGAAGAAGGGCCTGGTCACGTGCCCGTCGCGCTCCCAGGCCTGTTCAGGTGAGACGGTTACGGCGGCAGAGTCTCCCTCTGCCTCTGCTGGCCAGGTGGTGCCCAGAGGTGACGGGCCCACCGGGGCCGGTACAGCTCCCTCCGCCGTGCCTGGTGGAGTCGGCCAGGCCGCTGGAACGCCTCCCGGACCGGTGTGGAAGTGGAGGTGTGGTGGCACTGTTTGGAACGACACTACGTCAGGTGTGGTGACGAAGTCTCCGTCCTCGGTCAAACCAGCCTGACCGAAGGGGTCACTGGGCGGTGACACGATTGAGCTGACCTCATGAAAGTCGGCATGGTGTTCCTTTTCTATTGGCGAAGCTGTTGTTGGCGACATTGGATCCAGCAGATCAGAGGAACCAAACGGAGACTTGCTGATGATCCCTGAAGGATGAGTTACGTATGGATTGTCTTCTGTGTCATTTTTGGAGACAATGGTTAGAGTCTTGCGCACCAGTTTGTCTGGAAGATATGCGGCAGGTTGTTCAGAAAGCCTCTTGATATGAGAAGGTGTACCATTGACGGCGCTAAACGTAATAATGATATCTGGCACTGCTGATGAGCCATCTTTTCTGTTAGTTGTGTGGTTGATGACTGTTCAGCCACTGTTTTCACGCTCGCACCAGACAGAGTGCCAGCCGATGTCTTATCAGCAGAAGTCTTCTTACTTTGGCGGGAGCAGGCTTCAGCACGACAGTAAGCGGCGGCAACGTCGCTGGTTCTTCTGTATCCATCTGGTCGCTGGTGTCTGATGGCCCCTGCCGCTCCGGCTCCGGCTCCAGCTGCTCCGGCTCCAGCTGCTCCGTCTCCGGATCCGGTAGTTCCGTCTCCGGCTCTGGTTGCTCAGTCACTGGCTGAGACTGTTCAGTCACAGCCTGCGACTGCCCAGTCACCAGCTGCTCATTTGGTTCGGTCCTGGACAGCACTGTGGGTTTCGTCCTCGCCAGTACGAACTCTGAGAGCATCTGCAGGAGTCCTGCTCCCAGTTTGTCGGGGCTTGGGAGGAAGGAGGCCACAGAAGGGATGGCCGGAGGTCGCGATGGTCGCGGAGGGGGACGGTAACTCGCGGAGGAAAATTTGGGCCAGTACGGAGCAGGTAGATCCGTCTCAGGGTTTGACTCAATTGCATCTGGTCTGGGTTGGACAGGATCCATCGGACTAGCTGGTGCTGAAAAATCGTGTTTCACTGGAAACTGGTCTGGGCCGCGTCGATGCTCCTCCGGGTAAGTTTCAGCCTCTTCATCCCAGACACTGCCCTGTCCTGTCTGAGACGGAGGACTGCTCTCGCCGCCTTGAGTCTCACCCAGCCCGGGAGCCAGCGGTAGAGACGGGCCCACAGCCGCCACCCGCTGCCCCGGGGACGATTCATCTCCAGACGGCAACACCGGCCTCCACGGGGTACGATCGTACTCCGGCAACTGCACTGACGGCCTGTCCACGAACGGTACGATCTCGGGCGGCGCCGGGCGCGACCCGGCACCGGCCGCCGGCCGCGCCCGGTCACCACCAGCTGACGGCACGACGCCGGCCCCTGCCGAGTCACCGTGGGGAGGTCGGGGTCGGGGTGGGCGCGCCGGGAGCTGCGAGACGCCGCCGGTGCCCCAGAGGTGCGACTCCACCGAGGCGGCCGTCGCTAGGTCCGACCGGCGGCCGACCAGAGCCGGAGGGAAGTCACCGTACTCTGAGGGCTGATACTCGGTGATGGGTCTGCCGTGAAGTGCGGGAGACGGTTCCTCTCCCAACTCCGTCTCCGCTGCATCTCCGGTAGGTCCCTGTCCTTGCAGCATCACAGAGCCGACGCGGGGCGGTCGGACCCAGTCCTGCAGTTGGTGAACGTCCGAACCCGATCCGCTGGTCGCCACGCCGCCTGGTGCTCGGTGATCCGGACTGGCAGAGGACGACTGAGACGAGCCGCCTGAAGGCTGGCCCGATGTCGAGCTCACGTCCGAGGTCAGCACAGGTGACAATCCAGGTAGATTCTTCTCCCCTGAAAGACAAAAAACATGGTGTCATGCCATACCATCTAAACTGACGACGTATACAGTGAGTCACAGAGGTACCCTCAATGTACATAATGCGAAAGGCCATCAAGACATTTGTCTGCTGTACATTAGGCAAGACGATACAGCTAGACAATACCATTGAAAAGGCAACAGACAATAGCTTTTCATATCAGTCGATGGCGAGACGTGGGAAAGCTGAAATAGGGTAGGTATTCCAGGTTTAAATCTAGAGGACACGATGATCGATGATTATGATTATTGCATCATGCATTTTATGACATGATTGTATGATTACGGTGTCATGCCATATGATAATACAAATATATCACGATATCGTGATTCGTAGCATTATGATAACAGAAAGCAATCTGGAAACTAACTCAACTGGACACCACAGAGGGTGACACACTGATGAGTTTGTCTGTCGGACCACCGTCTATAAGGGGGCGGGGTACCGGGCAGACCACGTTCCTCCACGCTCCGCTGCACATCCGAGCACTGCCGACAGTTAGCCGCCTGTCCCGGCGGCGCATGCGCACAGCACACCTGACCCAGTAGCGGTGCCGGCTCATGACTGGGCACCCAGCTGATCGGACCGGGCGCTAAACAGGCCAGCCTATCGACATGGACAAACCATAGCGGGTGAAGGACGCGTACTCGGCAGCTAAAGGATTCGGCGGCAGTTAAATGGCACCCAAGGACTCCTTCATGGCGGGAGGTCGAATTGAGGAGCATTAGAAATGGATTAAAGAGGTGCTTATTGCAATATTGCAACTACATATCCCCTGCAGGATCCTTGACACGTTCGCCAAAATTACACAACTGGCGCTTGTTTTCGGTGTAGATGGGCGTTAAACAAAAACCAAAAACCGGTTCGCGGCGGTGAGCTACTCCAGTGGTGAGACTCTGCAGACATCAGTCGACCGCACAACCGGGCGTCTTTCTCGGCGAACACAGCTCCCACGAACCGAACGCCGCTCAGTCTCGAGCTCAACTCACGTGAGATGTGAATACTGTTGATGTCGAGTTGGAGCGCTCGGAAGGCCTTCGGCTGGAGGGCCATCACCTCCTGGGTCAGGACGCCCCTCAGCGCCTCCTCCGTGTCCACGACAGACCTATACAAACAAACGTAAATGTTAGGGTTTGGACATCTATGCATGAGCAAAAACATTATTATACACACTTACAGTATGATAACGGTCCAACTCATAACATGTTAGGGGGAGATTCGGGGAGCGCCGCAGGCAACTATAGAAGCGGTAGATATCGGCCGGGCGAGATTTATGCCACTGATGATAAGTGTTCTGTATACTCAGTGTAAAAGCATCTATGGTGCAAGTCCGTAAGCCATCTGCGGGGAGGGGGCCGGCCAGGGGTGTTCTCTGCTGGGTCAGGGGTCGTAAATTCCAGGAGCCATGTCCCTAATCCGTGGCGATCAGCTGCCATGTGCGGATGAGGCGCCGCTGAGCCACCGGTGCCGCCGCGATGGGGCAATGGTGGCCGCGCTACCACCGCAGATTCGGACAGATGATCCAGCTCAATCTCAGCCGCTCGCGACGCCTGCCTGCCGTTGGCGCGGTCATTTTTATCTCGTGAAGTGTTGCAGGGCGGGAAATTCACGGATAAGACGGTGAAGGACATGCTCTGTAAACTGAGTCCCACTTTAAACAAAGGTACAGGTGAGGCCATAAAGCACAGTTCGCAACAGCGAGAAGGCTTTATGATCTAATCCGGTAAACGTCCTTCGGTCTTAGACCAGCGGCAAGGTAGGACTGGCACGCGACTCCCATAAAGGATACTCGGTAAAACGAACCAGCAAGCCGGGAAGGGAAAGATTAGCCCAGGCATTCTGACCATTCCAGTGTTAAAGAAGGCGAGATACGAAATTATTAAGCATATCCTAATGATAGGTATATGCAAATTTTTATGAAAGCGAATGAGGAAGGGTGAGAGATAAAGGGGGACAGAGAGAGCAGGGGAGGGAGGGGGAGCGAGCGAGAGAGAGAGAGGGAGAGAGAGGGAGAGAGAGCGAGAGAGCGAGAGAGCGAGAGAGCGAGAGAGCGAGAGCGAGAGCGAGAGAGAGAGAGAGAGAGAGAGAGAGAGAGAGAGAGAGAGAGAGAGAGAGAGAGAGAGAGAGAGAGAGAGAGAGAGAGAGAGAGAGAGAGAGAGAGAGAGAGAGAGAGAGAGAGAGAGAGAGAGAGAGAGAGAGAGAGAGAGAGAGAGAGAGAATGCCAATGCCCAATGGTATATGACATTGGATAAACCGAATGGTAACCACAACGCAGCACAAGCCAATACCACCAGACGGGAGACTGCATCGCAAGTTAGAACAATAGCACCAGAGCGCGGGGAACTGCAGCTGCGCACAGAAGAGTAGCACCAATTTACCAATTTCTTTTCTCCGATCGATATTAGCAGGTGCCAATGATTATTTCGGAGTCGTCACTTGTCCGAACAATGATTATCAACCGGTGGGTGATGGACGGTTAGAATAATGCCACCCAGAATTACCAGTCAAATACACACCATCAAGAAGGAAACTCATCGATCATGATAGGATAGTCTTTGTCTGTAAATGTACCAAGGATGGAACCACCGACCGAAATGGAAATGTATCGAGCATTGAGTAAGGACTTAAGTCCGTGACCGAATGTAGGTATTGCTTGATGGAGTTCGGGCATATGTGAGCGCATCACGTAAAAAATGGCATAATGGTATAATGTAACTAGATATAGAATAGAATGTAGAAGTTAAACAAGAAATGAAATCGTCGGTTTTCCAGCATCATCTGCACAGTGTGCCATTTAGGTCACGACTTTGCCGCAAAACATAGCTGGCGTCAAATAGTCTCAGGCTTAGAACACATCGCCAGTATGCTCCATTTCCCAAGGGATGCACGCACGTCCAAAATGAGCATCCCGCTAAGGCTATAGTGGTGAAGGGCTTTAATGCATAGCAGCGTCAACATCTGTTGCAGCTTAAGGAATGCAGACAGCGTAGCCATACTGCTCTGCTGCAGTTCAACTACACAGTCGTGCTACTGATAACGGTAAAAGCCTGCACCGAATGTGCATTTGACACTGCTCAGGTAACGCTTTGGAGACCATTGTGAGTGAATCACCGTAACATAGATAGACGCCTCGGTGCAGGGCTGGTAGAACTACTTAGGAAACGGCAATCGTAACAGCGGCGATAATTCACGGAACAACTACTAAGATTGATGACGAACATATAAATGTGGCAGGGGTATGCAAGTGCCGTCACTTACTAGCGTGCGTCACCTCTTTCCTTTTCCGGGCGTGTCTACATATGTATTCCAATAAGCAGCAGTAACCGGCAGCCGATTGACAACCGACCCAGCACAGCCCACTCTCTCGCGGCACGGCAAACTATTCTGAGACGGCGCACCGTGACCCTGACCTTGGGTCACGCGAGCGGGCGGCGCTCTCACGCGGTGACCGCTGGGAGACTGACCAAACCGCAGCGGTCAGCGTGCCGCGACATTGACCGGAATGGACCGCGTACAACCGCGCCACTGACCGCGCCGGTATGGGCCGCTGACCCAGTGCACTTGACCGAGAGAAACCGCTCGTGGGCGCGGCACCATGTCGCAACTCTCGCTCATGTTTGGACCTTACCAGACAGTGAAATATGACTCGCTTGTTAGAGAGTCGATATGCATATTTCTGTTGTCGGTTTGATGCTTAGGAAGGCCAATTTTCACGACCCACTCTTAGCCAGCTGATGACTGCAATGTATGCCATAAATGCGGCGCTACAACAGTAAACCACATTGGTGTTGTCAAATTCAGCTACACACGTCGCTTAGCAAACAAGACATCAAATCTTATGCATCCCGCTAATGTGCATGCAGCAACGTTGCGAAATGCAAATAATTGCATGCGTAATATTGACGCTTAGGTTTGCTTCCTGCAGTTATTCGCTAATGGTTGTAATAACAGGTGGGTGACGCTCCACCGTAATGGGTTTTCGTCACGGTCTGACTGCACTGTGCCACTTTCTTCATTATCACGAAAGTAATTTTCCACCTGAGTCACACGAAGTTGGGCGTGGCTCGACGATAGCAATCCAGTTCCTAAGTCGAATCACTACTCGACAGAGGTTGCATATGTGCAAAGACAGCAAATACTTAGAAGATATCTATCAATTATCAGCCATCAACATCTACCGGAAAATGCCACGAAATGTCATCCAGTAGAAAAGACAAAATGATTGACAGAATTATCATCGCATCGTGAAGGCTTTCGCATTTCCGAAGCAAACCACTATTAAACACAAGCAATATAATGTGATCTGGTTCGAGTGTTGCAATGCTCGAGCTAAAGAGAAAAAATGTACAAGCTACGCTTAATGGAAATAGTTCAATTAATCAGTATGGTTATTGCCAAGGTCAAGAAGACCATCATACTTTGCATCACAGGCGGTTTCTTGAAGGAACGGGAATAAGCGGTTCAGCATGGTTTGGGGATATAAAAGCCCACGTTTAAGCAGTCATAAAAGGTATATTAATTTCGAGAAGCCATGCTATTCGGAACAGTTGACATATTTTCACAGCGATTACCGTACCGTTTAGCATGTCGTGGATCAGTTTCTCATAGAAAAGAGGTCACTAGATGCAGGCGACATGGCTCAGCTGTGCAATGTGCACTACCGTACTTACCTGGGTATTTTCCTTCTGTCGAGATGAAGACGAAAGAAGACCGTCAGCGGCTGTCCGTCGAACGAGTGCACGTCCACATGGCGAAACGCCTCGGAGACGGAGCTGGCTCCGTACAGCGTCTCCAGCTGCAAACATCAGCACAGCAACGTCAGTAACTGCGCAATCAACATTGGCAACTACATCAGAAGCATTAGCAACTGCATCAACAACAACATAAGCAACATCAGCAACGGTATCAGTAGGTACCATGTGAACATTAGCAATTGCATTAGCAACCGCATGCCAGCACCACGCGCTGCAAATCAGACGGCGTGCATCTATCCAGTATCAGCTATGTCGTCATCGGGGTAGGTATATCCAATTTCACACGTCTATCCGCACAAAAGGAGCCTCACGACATATTACCCCGCTCACGACTCCCAGCTGGGCGTCTGGCACCATGCCACGGAGAATCTCGCGCTAGAGGCGATACACCCAGACCCGCCGATAGCCACACATACACACGGTCCATGAAGCAACACCCTCCCGAGGCTGCCGCACGGCTCCACCTGTGGCCACCGCTCGGATCGGTAAGAGTGCATGGGACTACAGAGACGGCTGCTGATCTGATACAAGCAAGACCAACTGACGGCTGCTCGTCAGCCCAACGCAGACCATTGCAAAGGCGGCCGCGCCGGTCCAGCGATAATCGTCCTGACTTTTAAATATGTCACTGCTAAAATGTGGCTCAGGCAGAAGTGCGGATGTGATGTTCGAAATGTAAGGATGAGTCTCTTGTGGACACTGCTTGTCGGAAAAGACAAGGCCAGTCCTTTCGAGGACTAGAATTTGAAAGTTGAAACTTAGGGCTGATCGTCCAGCCAATAACGGGGTTTCGTGACTTCCCGACGGCCGGAGCTAATCGATAAGCTGGTCAGGGTCAGTGGGCCGGTCGAGTTTTCCCGATTTGGCAGTCGGCTCGGCGAGATTAAGATGGGAGCGCCGCGCTGATATCTGACAGATATTGTCTCGCAAGGTTGAGAGGTTCCGATGCTACAGTTCTGCCAGCAAGATGCTGCATCGAAACGCGGAATTTCCGACTAAGAAACATGACCAAAACGTGAGCGATACTTTTTCAGTTTAACTGATCGTTAATCTTTTGTTGGTCGTATCCATTTGTGCATCAATTAATGCATCATTCTTATGCCGTTTAGGCTTAACCCTCGCCGGACCTATTGGTTTTCTACACACGCGCCGGCCGAGGGGGGGGGGGAGCGGGTACGACCCCCCCTCGCCGTTTCGCCCCTGGTGGAGCTAGCGCGTCGCGGAAAAAACGAGCGTGTGCGCCGTTACGAGACGCAGAGATTGGTACCCGATTTTAAGGTCCTAGGTCAACCGGTGACTTCTGAGGTCAGGTCAAGTGCCCCAAGGTACGGTTCAGTTTTTGGTGAATAACTTCGCAAAAAACGGCCGCAGAGCCGCGATTTTGGCAGCATCATGTTTGCCTCGCTCAGGCGCGTCGAATGATATACTTTTTGTTCGGGTCAGGTCAACTTGGGGTGTTGACCTCAGGTCAAGGTCAGGTCAGCACCCCCAGGTCACGAAGTTGGTCGAAAGAGGTCATGTCGCATATCGTTCGATTCGGCAGGTCTTCCTGAGTCCATTGGTGGCTTCCCCGACTCGCTAGCTCAATTTGATCAAGAGTTATTGACGAAAAACTAATATGACCTTGATGACGTCATAAATGACGTCACGCAAGGTCAACATTGCAAAAGTGACGCATCTAACCTTCCAAGGAGTGCATCAAATCACGATTCTGTGTGCTTGAGATAGTTGGAGATCGTTCCCGGAGCCAGAATAGCAGTTTTCATTTTTCCCCATTGACTTATAATGGTGAGGTCACGAAAACGACCTGACCTGATATGACCTTTAGGAAAAATCCGAGATATACAACTTGTGAGACTCATAATGGATACTAGATCCTGCAAGTTTCATTTCCCTGTGACATCTTCTCTGGCAGTGACGGCGTTGCGAAGTTGCGACATCTGAAGACCGTGCAGGGGTTCACTTATGACGTCATAGGTCAGTGATCTGACCTGACCCAAAAATGCGGTTGGTGTCAAAAGATCCGGCTTGAATCAAAGGTCAGGTATGCCAAGTTTCAGCTCTCTATCGCCAGCGTGTTCGGAGCTATCGCGAAAAAAAACCCTAAGGGGGGGGGGGGGGCGGCACCCCCTCGGCCGGCGAGGGTTAAGTTACATTTGAGGTTCATTTTATATACCTACTCGACGCAAAAAAGGCGTAAGTAACTAGCCCATTTCATCATGGTAATTCAGCCTCATTCGGCCATTGTATTGCATTACCGCTAAGAAACTAAATACTTCATTCCACACAGACTTCAAGAGTCCCCGAAATCAGGCAGCATCTCCGCTCCGTAGCACGGATAACAATTAAAACACCACCGATGATGCAGCAGCTGGTCCACCTGACTCCGCGTCCGCCGACCTCTGCCGACCGGCCGTAAACACGTCTGGCCGGCCGCCGCTCCCTGGCTGGAGCCGGTTTCGGGTCAGGGCACCGCTCATCGGGCCGGGTCGGGTATTGACAGCAGCGCCGCGCCGGTCAGACGGGCCGGGCCGGCCAGACGCTGCACTGGACGGACCGGCCCGAGCCGTCACGACGGTCAGCGTATACCTAGAGCTCGGACAGACACCAAGCTCGTTGGACATGGCAAGAAGGCAAGACGAGACAGAGACGGCGCACCGAACCAGTACCGAAACACTGACCGAGATCAAGTCCGGTCGTGTTTTACCGGCTCAGCCTTGTGCCCAAGTGACAAAAACGGCGGCCAGTACTTCTCCGAAATACCTTGTTAGTGGGACACAACAAAATTAGACGAGGAAGAAGAACGTAGAACTACCGGAGGAGCCGGTTGCGAGCTTCAAAACCACGCCGACCAAGTAAGCCCCACACTTCAAACCGGCCCAGACACCTCTTCGTGTGTTCACACATCAACTCCATATACATGTAACTCCACACACAGGACCGATCCCCGTTTGACCCTGAGCGGACCGGCACGCCCTGCAGTCTGCGGTCGGCCCGCCGGCGCTCGGTGGGCCATTGGTGCCGGCCACTGCGCTTTATGCGTCTGCCGCGGCACACGCTACCTCTGCGGTGTGACCGCACGGCGCCCTGCTGTGGTCTGTCACGCCCCAGCCCCGGGGCGTGGCGCGTATCTCAGACTCACCCGTACACGAGTCTCCCACGGACTATCCTGTGTGACAGAGCCGAATATCCCCCGAAATGGAGCCCTATTGTAATTAGGTACCAATGGACGCTGTGATTGATAATTAACCATAACTTTCTAGGAAGAGTCTTGCACTAACGCAGTGCATTCCATCTATGTGACGGATTCTTTATTTGATGATCATTATAACCTCATACTTTTTAAACATGTCTAACAAAGCTCATTAAAACCACTATTCAGCTGTCCCTTAAGCACGAGACGTTCCAACGCCCCCAAACTTCCAGCCCCACGCCAAAGACAGCCATGTAACTCCGCACCGATATTTGAACTTTATCCCGTGCGTCCCCCAACGCGGTACACTGCTCAGACTGAAGGCACGTGCGGCCTCAGTTAGAGCTAAGACGGTCTCTCCCCTAGCTCGGCGGCGGGCGGCTCTACGGGGAACAGCGGCAGCAGGGGGCAGGAGTCGGCTCAAGGACCGACACCTGTGCTGACACCGTGCAGCTGACGGTGTATTGGTAAGCCGGCACGGATCGCCACGAGAGCCATCGGCCTTCGGGGGTGGAAATGAGGGATGGTGGGCTCGGTCCGTCCAACAAGATGGTTCGCCCGACTCACAGTTCTATCTGAAGGATTTGGATCTATCGCATTCGCATACGAACTGACATCAGCGCCTCATAAGCCGAGGATTACTGATGTTGACGCGTGTATATATATATATATGCTTACTTATGTGAAACGTATGCGTCGAGTCAGTACAGAGAAACGCAAGCGTGGCTCGAAATGATGGACATTAATTTTGCTAAAAGCTTTGTGTAATCGTCCGTCTCGACATGTTTTGCATTGTTGCTTGACATAATATATCGCTTATGATCACTTATCACATGAAAGAAAGATCGCTATGAATACCATGTGATGCTGTTAGTGAACCAAGCTTCTCAGGGACAGGCGGTATTAAGCTTTAAAGTGTTTCTGAGCCTCAGCCATCAAGATATCAGGTCTGAGCGTCTGCATTTCCCTTTAACATCCACATGACAAGGTCGTGTACGGCATGAGATTACGGTCAATAGTTTCATGGCTAAGGTCTCAAAACGATACCTATCATTATCCGGGATCGACTTAGAACCAACTTACGATTCCGCGCCATGTTGTTTTATGGCTCTTCCGAGGCTTTAACCATTGCCAATGAAGGTAAGAAAATATTTTAAAATACCATGAACCATTGCAAGGGCGCAGACCATTGCAAGGGCGGCCGCGCCGGTCCGGCGATAATCGTCCTGACTTTTAAATATGTCACTGCTATTTTAAAATACCATGGTAGCATGAACAGTAGCAATCGTCATCTCTGGCATTTCGGGAGCACCCTATCAAAATGATAAATTTGGATCTCAGACCGACAGACGCTGTGCGGCACGGCTCCTCAGTTGCTTCCAATGCCCCATTCGACGCGTAACACGGACACAATGATCCGACCCGGCGCATTAGCTTGTCTCCAATCCCATCGAACCAGCATAGCTCTCGGAGATCCGTCGGTTTGTCCCGGAGATTTGTCTGCGCTCGATCGTTAACGTCGGTCAAGGTTAGGCTGACAAAGCCGGTCAGGGTGGGCATACCGCCGGCCGGTTGTACACAAGAACCGCGCAGAGGGAAGTGAACGGTTCGTGGACACAGCCGAAGGAGTGGCTAACGGCGAATAGCGGGATCGTTAAAATTCCGTTTATGTGCATGGCTGTTTGGTTGATTCTGTTCCGTTTACTTTATCCCCCGAGGTTGGTTCACGAATGCATTTCAGAGCCGGCTCTCTTAGTAAGTTCGCCGTCCAGCTCCAGCTGACCTGACTGTTCCTTCATCCCGTCCATCCACCCTAACTGCTTGTTTCTCCAGCCTAACAAGACCGTCCTCCGTACCGTCTAGCTGCGTCCCTCCAACCCAACCCGTTCGTCCCTCCTTTCAACCGACCATCCCCCGTACCATCTAGCGGCGTCGTGCCGCTGTGGTATGTCTGTGGTCAGCCGGCGGTGATGACAGAGCCGTTTAATCTAGCTCTCGGCTGGCCAGGGCCACTCACGACCTCAAGAAAACCCGCCCTTGAGCGGAGCGATGATCCGCGACCAATGAGTCATCTCGGTGCGCGGGAGGCGGCTCCCAGATGTTCGAACGCCGTCGCTATTTGGGAGGCGCTCGACAATGCACCAAACACGAGGCCGTTAGGGTTTAACTCATGCATAACGCTTTGATATTCTTGCTGTCCTTGTGAGGGAGTAGAGGGACATGCCTCGGATAAATCGAGAGAGAGAGAGAGAGAGAGAGAGAGAGAGAGAGAGAGAGAGAGAGAGAGAGAGAGAGAGAGAGAGAGAGAGAGAGAGAGAGAGAGAGAGAGAGAGAGAGAGAGAGAGAGAGAGAGGGAGGGAGAGGAAACAGAGATGATTTTTATTCCTAACGGGTAAATGAACCCAGGCATTGCAAAAGTAGGTACCTACTCCCACTGAAAAGCTTTGCCCCCAGACAGAGAAAACAAATGAGCAACTGATCTTACTATAGCCTGCATATAAATTGTGCAAATAACCGTACGTTCTACGCAGTCCCGCTTGTTTAAAAAACGACAAACGTGATTCAGAGTTTAATTCATCTGCCTGCATTTTTTATCGCTTTCTAAGTGTCTAGCTGTCACTTTAATCGTATCAGTAGTGCAATGCCAGGGTCATGTGAACACAGACATGACCATGAGGCCTGTTTATCCTCAGAAATCTGGACTCGACGGGACACATCTCATCTTATCTGAGCGAAATGTAGACGGAATTGGGTCGGAAGGTGTGACTCACAATAGAATCGTCTGATCGGTGAGGGACCTCGTGTAACGGACGGTTTATGATCGGAAGGCAGGCCAAAGGGATCAGAAAGACTGGCCGTCACCGGCGCGGCGGTCCGGCCCGTTCGACCCTCCGCAGGCAGAAGTGCCCGCTCCTCCAAACTCTGCACAATCGGCAAACATTCCCACGACGCTATCCGTTAAAACTCTGCATCCGTTAGGTACTGGGAAAATTCAGCCGATAGCTCGAGTCTTTTCACTTTCGCTGGCCATGTGAGATGTATGCTTTGTCTGAATGATGGTTTGGCTGAAAGATATTTTTACCAGATCTCTATCAATGCCTGTGCTGTGCTTATACATTTATAATCTGTTTATCCTTGTAATAAAGTAATTCCGGCGCATCCATACACATTCAGGGCGACAACAATCGTTATTCGAGTGCCAGAATAAAACTATGCCGAATGAATCAATAAATAAACGAATATTGCTTAAGCTCACAAAGACACCACAGCAAACATAACAGTAGAAAAATACATCCTTAAATAAACTAATGTGCACGCACATCCAGAAACAATGGAACAACACACTCGATTCGTTGGGTAAACAAGTGACCGCACATATACAGCGTTCAACCAGCGTGACCTGTCTCCCCAATAACCGGCGGCTTCTGCCCGCAGTTGTATTTACAGTCAGCCGTTTGTCATTCGTGATCGGTTGGTGGTTTCATAGTGACTGATCGCAACAGCACCAGCCGATTCAGAGGTAAGACAGTTCAGTCATGACCCATTTAACTACTTACATGCATACGAGCGAGCTTGCCTGTCATTGATTTATTAGCAACTTCGTAACGGTCTGCTGCCACCGTTAAAATAAAAAGTGAATATTTCACTTCAATTACACAATTAAAGATAAGCGAGAACTTCTGAAGAACTTCAACGTATATACGTTCGCACTTCAGACTCAGCCATAACCATCTCAATCTCTATCAGCTTTTTTTGTTGTAGCCTGTTGATATGTAATTGCGCGCTTTGCCGACCACATCTCCAAAAATCAAATTCGTGATCACAATTCGGTATGTTACCGCTCCACCAACTAACTACGTCTCTCCCTGATGAGGCCACCGCGCGGCGTCACTCTACCTACCACTCCTACTAACGGTAAACTCCTGACCACCAGATCGACCGCTGCTCCGGGCCCGAGCGCGGCAGACGGTCGCTGCTGCTCCGGGCCCGGCCAACGGCAGACGGTCGCTATAGACCTCCGTCACGGATGAACGGAACCTGAACAGCGGTGGCGGCGACGACGACCACGGCGATGGCTACAGTAGCGAAGATTTGTTAGACGGTGAGTTGTTTAGAACACAGACGCAGCAACACGTGAAACCAGCGACGAAGCCGAAGGCGGTATCGGCTACAGTAGCGAATTACTTGCCAGGCGGCGAGCTGTTCAGGACTCAGGGGCGGCACCACTCGAGACCAGCGACAAGGCGACGAAGGTACTAGCAGCTATAAAGTAGCGAATATTTACTAGGCGGCGAGGTGTTTGAACGCCGAGACGGCACCACGGGAGACCAGCGGAAATGGGGGCCACAGAGAAGGTCGCTGATGCGATAGCAACAGCGGCAGTACGGAGCTCTTTGTAAGTCCGGTGGGTTGTGGCATTGGCCCGCTGTATACCCTCGTCTCCTCTCAGTCTCCTCTGTTCTCAGGGCCAGACGAGACGGAGGCGGACCGGTAATCATGTTGGAGAGTGGAGACATAGACCGTGGGGGACGGCGCGGGGGCGGGCAAACCGGACTTTGTGCTGGACAGAACGGCACGGGCTGGATCGTGCTCAGACGGAGATGTACCGTACTTAGACGTTCCTTAAGCGTACCGTGCTAACCTACCGTACTGACACGGGACTGGGGCGTAGAACCGTGAGACGGAGACGGGCCGAACTGAGACGGACCGTACAACTATGGATCCGGGCCGGAACTGGACAATACCGGACTGAACTGGAGGAAAGGGATGCCAACTGGCCGGCCAGGGACGCCCGGACACGACTGGGGGAGTGGGCTGCGGGATGACTATGGAGATGGTGGAATGGAGAGGAGGGCGAGGCAGGCGGGGCGCTACCGCAATGCGGTCACAGCGCTCGCTCGGTAAGACGGACGGCCAGACCGAAGGCCCGTCCGAGGACAGAGCAGAACAATGGCGTCTCGCTGCAGGGGGCTCCGCATTCGCTACTTTTTGTTGGTAAACGGCTGGCGCGGCAGACTGGCTGCCTGCCGCCGCGGCATGCATTCGGAACTCCGTCAGAGGTCCGACAAACATACGGGCTTGGTATCAATCTCTCTCACAGAGGCGGAACCAGGATCGGAATATGGCTACAGTGAACTCCAATACAAATCACAGCCCTTCGCGGCACAGTGATGCACCTAACAAATCTCGTCAAGGTTTCTTGTGGAAAATAAGATAACAAGCAACGATGCATGGCAGTGGTCTACTTCCCGATTCATCTATGTAAATTGACTGTGGCCCGTCTCGTTTGGTCCCGTCAAGCCCAACTGGCCGCCGTTGTTTGCCCTGGCAGCTGATGGCCACTTCCGTCCCTGCCTCCCACGACGGTCCTCTTCCTCAATAAACTCGCCGTTAGTGCCCCGAGCACTCACCATTCTCTGGTAGCGAGCGGCCTTGTGTCTGAAGTCGTCCGACCGCGCGTCTTCCAGCTCCCGGTGGTAAACGTCTCCGTGCAGAACGCGGAACTGTCCCGCGTACTGCATCTCGTCTGTGGACAGATAAAACTCACCGGTCACCGGCTTTGCATGGAATGAGAGACATCATCAACACGCTTAATTCAGATTTCGGAAAATGCATCAAAGCTCACATTCTAGACTAGCGGTGTTTCAGCCTTTACAACTTACAAGATAATTCAATGACCAAGTGAGTCAGACGGAAATGGGAGGCCCGTTAAATGGCTTTATAGAGCTCCAAAGTGAGATGCGACGAGCTCTCAGCATACAACTCCGATAAATGACGGCTACGGCTCTCAGGAAACAAGATGCCATTGCATTACTTTGTTTGGTGCACTGAGACAAAGATGTTTAGGGAATGAGACACAAATTGGGAATGATCGGGAATGGCCTTCTAGCAAGAACATTAGGCAAGTATGCCACCTGTTGTTTCCCGTCCATTGTTTCGTTTTTGTTACTCCTGTCGGCCTGCTAATCGATACTCACATTGTAAAGCTTGTTTATCCTCCTTGGTCGCGACTGAAAACAAACACATTTCAATCAGTTTCACTCAAAGGAAACAAGAAACAGGTCTTATAATAAAGTCGAGCGAACCAGCGAAATTCATCGATAGTCGATACCGTAATCGATACCGTCTAACTATATTTTTAGTGAAACAAAATATTGGAGCTAATTCATGTTAACATATTAAGAATTAACAAGTATATGCAAATCTGCAATGAATAGCGCTTAATACAACGTTATACCAAACAACTCAAATAACGCCTAACTACGTCACAGAAAAACAGCTGCCTACCTCCGAGGTAGGCGGCAACGGACACGATGCCTATAACGGCCACGATGACGGCGACTATGGACATGCTGAGACAGAGGCCTCCATACGAGCGGTGTGTGTACTTCCGGCCCGACTGGAAGTAGAGCTGCAAAACACAGATAGTTGTGTCAACACACAGAGCTTTGGAAGCCCACGGGCTGTGTCAGCCCGCCCCAGCAGAGCTGTGTCAGCCTATCAGATTTGTCAATTGTCAGCCAGTCAAATAGCTGTGTGCATCAGCACTCAGCAGAGCTGTCAGTTGTCCTACAGAGCTGTCGCCTGCCTACGCTGCACTACCGCCGTTCGGCCCGCGGTCGAGACGTCAAGGCTCGACGAGACAATCGCACGGAACATGCGGTTACTCTAGCACGTGATAGTTGGCACTTAGCAGGCCACTGCACTGCTTGACACAGGAAATAATAAAAATGCGGCAGCTTAATTACTGATGCCCTTGAGTAAGTGCGAATACAACGGCGGAAAGGTAATATCGATGGTAATCAACAGAAGCCCACGGGTGACCTTCGGCGGTCGCGGATCAAGGAATGCAACTTCCGCGAAAGGGTGTGTCAGCTTTCTACCCCGCTCTGTCCCACCCTGGTCATTGTGATGAGGAAACATCAGCGGTCCACCCCCGAATGACTCGCAACCAGGAACTAACGATGCATCCCACTGACTCGATGAACGCTTCGGGGAAGAGATGTTGCTTAAACCCTGATAGCTGACAATAAGGGCGCTTTTAATTGGAAACAGCATTAACGACATTCGAGGTGAACTGGGCTAATCGTGATCGTTGAAAAACACGATTGAAAAACAAATATAAAATACTAAGTCATTAAAGGTGACTTGACATTCTCTGGGTCACTGAAAACTTATGAGATGGTCCTCGAATTTCGTTATACACCCCACTACTAGAAGCGTGACCTTCATGACCTGGCGATCTTGGTGACCGGGTTGTTACCCGGTGACCCTTGTAACATTCATGATCCATCTGACCTTAGTGACCTCCGCGATCTGTGACTTCTGCGACCATGTGGTCTGTGACCCATGTGACCCCTGTGACTTCAGTAATCTTTGTGACCTTAGTGACCTCTGTACCTCTGACCACCCCTCCTCACCTCGGGCGACTCGCTGGAGAAGGAGACCTCCCTGGATCGACGCCGGTGGCTGCTGCGGGCCCGCGCTGGCCTCGGGTGCACATGTCGCCGCATGTACTCGTCCGGCGTGACATAGGTCAGGCTGCCGCCACTCGCCTGCAACGCAAAACAGCAGAAAACAGTCAATGACCCAGCCAGAACGGAGCTTAACTAAGCGATGTTAGATGCATCGCGCATCGTTCAATTTGCCAAACAAACAACGTAGGTGTATGCTTTGCACATTAACTGTAGGTAATACCTAATGCTAAAGCATAAAGCGCAAAAAAAAAACTACAGAAAATCGATTTACCCATGCCATTCAGTTATACCTGATGTATACCTAGGTAATACCTAATGCTAAAACATAAAGCGCAAAAAACTACAGAAAATCAATTTACCCATGCTATTCATTTTGCGGTCCAATTATCAGATTGACCGTCAACCAACATCCCCGAACAATGGTTGAATCATGACACAGCATAGCATAGGGGAGAGTGGTGCAGGAGGCCCCCCCTTAAGCTCAGTTGCTATTTTTAGACAACTGATAATATTTAAGAGCTAACGTGTGCATGCGCTGTGAGCATGCATCATTTTCCCATACATATTTGCATTCAAAATGAATCTAGGGGGTACACAAACCGTAAACTTTAACATTTTGGAAAAAGTTGCAAAAGGGCCTCTTACACTATGGGTATGGTAAGACGCCCCCCCCCCCTCGGGCGTTTAACAAGGCAAGTCGACTTGTAAAAGACGTTTTGCGAACACAGCTGCAAGGCCTTTTATTTCGAAAAGCTAAGCAAATACGGTGTTATCGAAACCAATAACACTTCCAAAGCGCTCGAACAATGCGAAAACTAGCACAACCAAACGCTGATGACCAACGAAAATTGTACCTATTACCTCTAGAAAAAGAAACAGAAAAAAAGAAACAAAAACAAACTCCTTGAAAAAAGAATGCCACGCCTGCCGAAGGTGCAGGCGTTTTAGCATCGGGGGCGTTTTTTATCGGGGGGCGTTTTATAATCCTCGAAGGGAGGGCCTCTTAAAAAAATGCAGTGTTTTAACGTCACAATATTTATGGTTTATGAGACATTTGCAGCGCACCAGAACATGGTCTATTCTGAAGCTAACATGTGACAATTTCGATGAGATAAGATTGCATTTGATAGCCATTGTTTTTTCAGATATATAAGGGTGATAAAGATGCATATATCTAGCAAGTAAAGGGGCAAAAACAGAAACAGGCTTACCAAAAGTCGCTGCGACGCACCTGATACCTCAGGTTTCGTGAGTTGTTGTTTCAAGAGGGCTTCTGCTTTACAAGAACATTAAAAAATAAATAACATTATTGGTTTGGTAAAAAAAGCGATGGGGCCTCTTACCGACCCTGGGCGTCTTACACGGATCTCCCCTATAAGTACCACAACGTCCTGTATGACAGCACAATCTGTTTCGGAATCTGTTTCGGTTTTTCCTCCGTAACCACACAGCTGAAGTGAACGTGCCCCGGAATGCGTCACGTCGTGACGCATTCCGGGGCCATCCCGCGTCACTCCCGCTGCCTTTGTGCCCCGCTGAACAATGTTGCTCGCTGATGTCTGTACCTACTGGGCGAGTTACCGGCGCGGTGTCGGGAGGGGACTGTCCGGCCAGGGTCACCATTTGTCCAGTGGATAGTCGCTACCGCCCCCGGCTGGCATGACCTTCCTTCCCGGGCTCCGGAGGGTGTGCTGGTCCCGGTAAGGGGACAGGGAAGGGCTAACCTGGGGTGTGGCGCGGGGAAGGAACAGGGATGTGATGGGTCCGCAGGAGGACGGGAAGGGTCAAACCCGGCTAGTGCGGTGGTTCCAGGAAGGGGACAGGTAAGGGGCTACCTAGGGATGTGGTGGAGTCACGGAGGCAATAGGGAAGGGGACGGGGTGTGGTGATCCCAGTGTAAGGGGGATAGCCCGGGTTGTGGTCCTGGAGGACAGGGTAAATGAGGACCTGCTGAAAGTTCCGAGAAAGGAACGGGGGGGGGGGAGGAGGCGGCTCGCGCCAGTCGCACAGTGATGCAAATGGGGTCCACGAGTGGCCATAAATACCGAAAAGGCCCAAATTTCAAGTTCACCTAATCGAATAAATCTTATTATGGCCAGTCAGGCAAAGGTTTGGGGTGTCTGAAAAAACATGATTTTCATATTTTTGTCAAAACCGGGCTCGTGTATGATTGTCAGAAGTCGTGACATTTTCTATGTCGTAAAATGACTGTCAGATACTCGCAAGTTCAAAGGCCGCTAGCGTGCATTCATTTCGTACAAATGGCAAAAATTATACATGGCAATGATCCCCAAAGTCTGCTGCTTCTAATGCAGGGTCACAAAAAGCCGTATCTTTTTTGGTTTGGCGTTGATCATGTTGTCAACTATTTGTCATCATGTTGCAATCGCAGTTTTTTACTAAAAAATATTTGCTTTCGTTTCACCTACAGCAGTTTACACATTGTGTGCCCGTTGCACGGTCTTGCCGAATACCAGATTAGCGCGAATTTAATCAAAAACCCGACTTTCGATAAACTGTTATTTATACCTATCAATGGGTAGGAAATTGTCTGAAGTTATCTGATAGAACCTTATTTTTAAGCCACTTTACCATTTGAGGACTTATATCCCTGCCGAAAGTAGACCCACGCTCCGGTTCCTAAAATCGGGCTATGGTACTGATAAATATGTCCAGTTTTCAACGTAAATTTTACGGAAGTTTCGAGAAGATATATGAGAAAATAGCATATCACCGGATAGCACAATTCATGATGAAGCTGTTTCTGCTATCATGGTAGCTTTTCAATGAATGGTTTTTGAGTTTAATGAGTTAGAACAAGAGCCCTGCATGTGTATCGTTCTCACGATAGTATTTAATAAAGAAGTTGAAAAATGTCAAAATGGATAAAAATGGATATGACGAATAGGGCATGGCTGAACTCTCCGCACCTTTCTGAACATAAGCGAGCAAGTTTCAGCTGCCAGTTTTTGCCTATTTGCCGTCAACTCAGCTTTGAACATGTCTAGTCGGCCGCCCTATGTGACCTGACCAAGGTCGGGGGCGGCGCGGCCGGACAGGCTCCAGCCTAATAAACTATCTCAAGCACACGAAATCGTGATTTCATGCACTCCTTGCAAGGTCCGATGCTTCACCTATGCATTGTTGGTCTTACGTGACGTCATTTATGACGTCACTAGGGTAATAAGAGTTTTTCGTCAATAACTCCCGATTAAATTGAGCTAGCGAGTCGAGAAAGCCACCAATGGACTCAGGAAGACTTGCTGAATCGAATGATATGCAACATGACCTCCTTCAACCAACTTCGTGATCTGGAGGACTCTGACCTGACCTTGACCCACGGTCAACACCTGAAGTTAACTTCAGCCGAACAAAAAGTATACCATTCGACGCGCCTGAGTGAGGCGAACATGATGATACCAAAATTGCGGCTCTGCGGCATTTTTTCGCGAAGTTATTAATAAAAAATGAATCCGCGCCTGGGTCACTTGACCTGACCTCAGAGGTCACAGGTTGGCCTAAGACCTTAAAATCGGGTACCAGTCGCTGCGTCTCGTAACGGCGCACACGCTCGTTTTTTCCGCGGGGCTCTAGCTCCATCAGGGGCGAAACAGCGACGGGGGTCGTACCAACCCCCCCCCCCCTTCGGCCGGCGCGTATTTTGAAAACCAATAAGTCCGGCGAGGGGTAAGTGTCAGTTTTGGAACCAGAGAACCATTTTCAGTGGATCCGAGGAGCGCTGGGATTAAATTCGCGCTAAACTGGTGTTCGGCCACACTGTGCGTTGGTGCGCCATACCACAGCATTCCCTAATCATTTCTGAGCCGCACTGTGAAAAAATTAAGGCGCTAGCACAGGGCTGACCGGCGCTTCTAAAGTTTTCGTCCGTTGCGGCCGGGTGCCGCGGTGGGCGGGCGGCCGCGCCGCGGGCGGGCGGCCACAGCGGGGGTTCGCCGGTGCATCCCTCTCCTATTCCTAAACGAAGTGTCCTATCGTCTCGCAACAAAAACCAACGGGTTGCCCTTGACAAGATCTCGCGAGTGAGCATATTACTTTTGACTTAAGGTCAATATTTGACCTACTTATAGCAGGTCAAAGTCAAACGTCTGTCGAAATTGCAATCCGCGGTGAAAGCAATCCACCCCGACCGCGGCACCCGACCGCGCCGGACAAAAACTTCAATAACGCTGGTCTGCCCTGCAGCTAGCGCCTTAATTCTTTCACGGTGTGGCTCAGAAATGATTAGGGAATGCTATGGTATGGTGCACTAACAGGCAAACACTGTGTTAGCTGCTGTAGGTGAAACGAAAGGAAATATTTTTCACTAAAAAATTGTTATTGAAACATGATGACAGATGATTAGATCACCGCCAAACCAAAAGAGATACGGCTTTTTGTGACCCAGCATGAGAAGCAGCAGGCTTTAGGGATCATTGCCATGCATAATTTTTGAAGTTTCTATTAAATGAGCGCACGCTAGCGGCGTTTGAAGTTGCAAGTATCCGACAGTCATTTTACGACATTGAAAATGTCACGACTTCTGACAATCATACACGAGGCCGGTTTTGACAAAAACATGAAAGCTATGTGATTTCAGATGCACCAAACAAATCTTTGGTTAGCCATATCGCGTTTTACTCGGTTTGGTAAACTTGACTTTTTGGTATTTATGGCCACTCGTGAACCTCATTTGCATCACTGTGAGTCGGGCCACTGTGGTTGTTGAAGCCCCAGCAAGTGTCCCCATTGTACCGCCGCACCCGCCGGATGGGGCATCATACGACCGGAACCGCGAGGATTGACCACATAAGACGGCGGCAGAGGATAGTTTTTGTTCGAGGGCAGGTCATAATGTAGGTATGCTTATTAATTTCGAACACTTCAAATCGAAATGGCATTGCTGTTTTTTTATAAAAAAAAACAATGTCTGCATACGGATGGAAACACTTTGTAATTGACGTCAATATACCGCTAATACAAGCCGACAAAGCAATTCTAGGAAAAAAAATGTTCCATCCATTGACTTATCAAAGCCGTATTCCACTGCCGGTAAGTCTCAGTAGCACTAACTACCTGTC